CACTCCCCTCCTGTTCCCTGGCCCACTCCCCATCCCACCCGCCCACCATGCCGCCTTTCCCCTTCACCCTTCTTCTCCCTTTTTTTCTTTCCCCTTCATCTTTTCCCTCACTCTCTACCTCCCTCTTTGCTTCTCTTAGGGCATATTCTACCTCTACTGAGAGTCACACCTCATGAATTATTTACTCGTGCAACTCAGCAGGGGATTTGTGCTGCGTTTCCTGACCGTTTACATGCTCTGTGATGGACAGGCAGGGTTTTTTTGAAAGGCAAAAAATAAAAGGTGTTTCCTTTAAATGTTCAGGTGAGCATCACAGATCTTCTGTTGGGTGCTCCTGCAGCAAAAGATGACACAACAGAAGAATGGATACGCTCCACATGGCAGAAGAGTATCACTCGGGTGTTAAGAATATGTTTAAATTGGCACCTAAGATAAATGCAATGATGTATTTTTTGTTCCAAAATCTTAAATCTTGACAATTAATTGGGAATAATCACTTTATTACATGCAGAAGGAACTTGACTGCATTATTTATCACATCTAAAAAAAAAAAGAAGAAAACCCTACCCTATGCATGCATTAAACCAAACATAAAAGACGGAAAAACAACCAGAAATCTGCCACGCCCCACCCCTCACTCCCAGGACAACATCACTCTCTGCTGCCTCACACATTAAAGTGCACACACACACACACACACACACACACACACACACACACACACTTTCCTGCAAAGCAGATCTTTTAACTCACTTCATCTCCTTTTGAAATTTACAGCATGTGAAGAAGATAAAAGTGATATGCGAGCAGTATAACCCCAACTCTGGAATTTTCCTCTAAGTATAAACACCATATTTTGGAGGAACCTGTGCATTTATTTCATTCCTGGACCGGTGCTTCACTAATTCCAACACATCTGCTGTAAACCTTTCCCTCTAATCTCATCAGAGGACGTTTTTACTGGCACATTAACAGCATCAGGGGACATCCATAACAGCATAGCTTCTCCTGTTATGCATTAACCTTGTAAACACAGAGTAAAAAGCCTTTTCATTAAAATCAGTGATGCATATTAGTGATATCAGGACAATGCTGTTAAGTACCACATGGGAGTTAGCTTTTATGACAAGTGCAGAAAGGGCAGGAATTGACACGACAATACCCGGGAATATGCTTCAAAATGTAAAACAGTGATTTGGTAAATTTTGAACTGCACAACTATTCAACGCTCTCAAATGAAATTGGTTTAAATGAACATGAAAGATTCTTGTTCTTTGAGGGTTGTGTGTGCTCCAACTGAGCCTTCTCCACTGGGTGAAGCCACACCCTGCTGCCTCCTGACACACACAAGTAGAGGGAGCGAGGAAGAGAGGGAGAAAGGGGGAATAAAAAGGAGAGAAAAGAGAGTAAGTGAGAGAGTGAGGAGAGAGAGAGAGAGAGTCAGAGAGAGGGGGTAGAGCAAAGAGAGAGAGAGGGAGAGAGATACATGTATATATAGAGAGAGTAAAAGAGAGGGGTAGAGGAAAGAGAGAGAGAGAGAGAGAGAGAGAGAGACGGGTTTGGGTGGTGTTGGGGAGTCCTCCGGCTTCCTCACACAAAGAGAGCTGCTGAGTGAAGTCATCACTGAGGTGTGAAAGGAAGATTCGACTGAACAGCTCCTCAGCTCGCTCATCCGTTCGATCACTAATGTGGAGAGCATTTGAGCAGCTTCACATTTACTGAATAAAAGACAACACACGGATTCGAAACTAAGATTTCCAGAAGGAAAGGAAAAAGTAAGAGAGGTGGATTTAGAGATGATGGAGAAGAAGTTGAAAAATGAAGAAATGAAAGGAATAATGGCAGCACGTTTCTTTGCCCTTGGCCTTTAAAAATTAAAGGTTGCACCATGGATGCTGCGTGACACTGATGCAGCAGAGGGGGAATCCTAAAGTGATGTTGGGACTGAACATACAGGCGTGGTACAAAGTACAGATAAGGAAATGAACGGGTTGTGTACTAATCTTGAAGACAATTCTTGTGCCAGGTTGCTCCAACACTACAGTTCAAAAAGAATAACACAAAGGAGAGACACATATAAGAGAAATACAAAAACCATTAAAGTAATAGGTAAAAATACTAGTATGATAGGTAACAGAGTAGATAGGACAGTAGTAATGGCAGTTTAGTCCCAGGCCCAGTGTCTGTTTATGTCAGTCTCCGGGTTGAGACCACAATGATATAAATACTTATATTATAACATTAATACATGAGTAATAGTGATTTGAAGTCACATTGCTCAAGTGAATAGGAAAAAGGCAAATATAGAAAAGCAATTCTGCTAATTCTGGTTATGATAACTAAGCTTTCATAACATAATATATTCTATATTCTATATTCTATATATATAGTCATATATTTAAAAAGTGGGCCTCAGTTGGTAGAGTCGTCATAACTCAACTTGAAGGTTGAGGGTTCGATCCCCAGCTCCTGCAGCTACATGTCCGACGTGTATTTGGCCGAGACACTTAACACCGAATTGCTCTTGCTGCTTTATCGGCAGCGTATGAATGTGTGTGAATGGGATTAGCTACTTCTGATGGTCTCACTACATGTCAATGTCAATGTCTGAATGGGTGTGAATGTGTAGGTGTGACTTGCGGTGTAAAAGCACTTTGAGTAGTCAGAAGACTAGAAAAGCGCTATACAAGGTCAAGTCCATTTACCTTTTAATATTGCACATGAAATGAAATACATTTTTGCACATAATATGAAAGTTATCATTGCACAAGATCGACACCAAATAATGTTGTACTTGATATGAAACACCTGATGTGAAAATTATGAAGATTATTGGACATTGCCCGAAGAATTGAGGTGAGGAACTATAACATTTTTCTGGATTAAAAATACTATGTAACGTATTGAGTGCCAGATCCTGGAAACGACTTGCACATTAATTTCAAAATTTCCCTTTTCCTAATCAATACACAGTTCAATTGTCCAGCACAAGATGAGCGCTGCATGTAATGCCTCGGGTTTGTTTTAAATCAGTGTCAGCACAAAAACCTGCAAAGCAGATATAGTTTTTTCGGGGTTTATAATAATTCATTATTGCATTTAAAAGAAAACACTAACAGTATGAAAATACGCCGCACTATTTCCTTTATGCTGCAGGTGCTGCACATCGCAGGCATTGGGTGCCCCACAGCGGCTCTTTGTAATTGTAATTACTCCATGAAGGGGACACTTATAGATCTCTAATCAATAACCTTTAGCCTAACACGTGTTTCAGCCCCGATCATTTGCATAACTACTGGGTAAGAGGGAACGCAAACACAACAAGATGTACAGTATGTCATCCATTTACAGTAATGTTGCTGATCTAGCACACACGAGGACACCTGAAGGAGGGATGCATCAACGCTTCATAATTAGCTGTGTAACAATGAGCCTGCATGGATGACCACGCCCTGAGCTGCTGATGTTCACACGTGTGTCTACTACATCCACCCACCCACCAATCAACACACCCCACACCCACGTAGCAGTACCACTGCAATGTTACACAACGCCCTGCAGCTTCTGCAATAACCTGTCTTTTGTCCCACTCCTTATGATAGACCTGAGTCTGCATGTTAAACTTGCTGCTGTATTTGCACTGTTATGACATCCTGTGTGGATGATAGAGGAGGGAGGAGCCTGTAGAAGTGCTTTTGATGAGGAATACGTTATTTGTCATAGTCTGACACCAAGTTTTCTTCAAGCGTGGTTAATAAAGAACAGAGATTTTACAGAGGTGTCTCATAAATGTGTAGTAATATAAAAAACAACCAGATGGTAACGACAGCTCTTGAGCCTTTAACTTTGTAGAACACCTTTTAAAGTCATGATAAACACAGTCCCTTGCACTGTTTGAATTTTTTTTAAGTTCTTATATTCTACTGACAGTCTCGAGAAATGAAAACAGATGCCGTGTGGACCCGAAACCTGCACGCTCAGCAGAATATGAGTGTGTCTCAGAGTGAGTGTTCAGAGATGGGGGACGGTGTGTTATATGTTATAGGCAGAAATCCGGCCTCAGCCAAATGCAAAGTGCATGATACTGCTGATACACGTATGTACTTCATGTATCTTGAGTGTGTGTCCTTTCTGGGACAAGTTGTAAATATGTGTGTGTGCTGCATCTAGCTGCATAAGGATTTATCAAGATATTTTGTAAACATCATGAATTTTTCTACTTGTTGCATTCCACCTTGAATATAGAGTTACATAACCTATGTCTCAGCGTATCAAACGTTATTATTTTAAGTTTTTTGTTTAGCTCCTTTAGGGTTTTACTTTTATAATTCTTTTACAAATGTGCGAGGAAAAAAAGAGGACGTATGAGGCGGTCACCATGGGCCCTGGGAACTTATGAGGAAATAAAAAAATGATACATGCAAATAATACTTTGTTGAAGATCTGGAACATTTTATTAATTTGGCTATACATTGTTGAAGGAGCTCAAAATGATGGGACTATACCTGGCGAGGGTTGTGTGGGACCAAAGTGCCACCACCTGGTAGAGAAGGGTAAATATGTAGGCAACATAAAATAAATACGCTATCCACGTTGAAGAACAAGTACAAGTACAAAAGCACTGTACAAGTTCTGAATCAAAACCCCATCATGTAAACAAAGAAGTTAAATACTGCTCACATGTGGTGTTTATCTGAGCCTATAAAGAACAAAAACAACAACAGGTGTAATAGTTATTTAGGTTCATTGTAAAAAAAAAAAAAAAAAAATACACTTATCTGAAGACTAACAGAGTAAATTACAAAGTGTTGGCCATGAAATAATATGTTGTACATTTTGAATTTGTCTGAATAACCACAGACAAACAGACATTTGGCGAAGGAGGCGGGACTTCATCCAACACCATGACGCTGCATGAATACCACCAATCAGGGGACCGGATCCTGCACGGTTGGCGTTTTCCGGTTTTAAACCTTGCACATGCGCATTTCATTTTTAAAATGGCGGCCGTGCAGGGTGGTCTGGTCGACGCTGTTGAGGAAAAAGATATAAAAACAGAACCATCGAACGATAGCGGAGGAAATAATAATGCAGGCGAAGCCCGACTGCTCTCCCCGTCCCCTGGCTCCAGTGCTTCGGCGGGAAGTGCTAAAAGTACGACGGGAGCCCCGGAGGACCAGTCTACGCTGCTGGCTGTCCTGCAGTTCCTCAAAAAGAACAAACTCACCGAGTCCGTTGACATTTTGCGTCGTGAAGCGGGATTACCGGAGGATGTACTCGATTCAAAAGGTACCGATAGCTCCGGGGCAGGTTCGGGTGCTGCAGCGGACAGCGCGGACGCAGCAGGCGGAGATGCGAGCTCTTTGCTCAGCCGAGTGACCGGCTCATCCTCCGCGCCAGCCCCGGCGCCCACCAAAGGTAACTCTACTGTTCACGAGTCTAACTCTCTGTTTTCCTGTAGACCTACCAGAACTTACCTGTATGAAAATCATTCACCTTTACGACAATGGCATCTCAGTTTCTATATAGACCACTAAATCTATACAAACATCTTCATCCTCTTCAAATAGTGTCATGTGGTTTGTTATGGGCTGTGTTTGATAAACAGTACAGCTTTGTTCATTTAACTTTATTGATGCTCAAGAAGATGCCGAACAGACATTCACACATTCCTGTCTGATAAAATCAATAACCTTAAACTTGTATATTGCAACCATAAATAATGTTTATTGTTCATAATTTGTTGGGTTAGTGTTATCAATTAAAGATTGGTAATGTGGTCTAAAAAAGTGTCGTAAAACTGCAACACTCAAAGCCTTCCTGAGCTGATGTGCTCATCAGTTTGTTTTTGTTATGATATTAAATTAATGTCATAACAGAGTAAAAACAGTAAATCCGAGCACATTCAAATTTGAAGTCAGAGAATGTATTTTCCTAAAATACTTTATATTATTTATTTATTATATTATTTATTTTGGCAACCTGTTGACAAAGAGGTACCTGTGATCTTGGCCTATAAGAATATCACCCCGCTGTCTTTAAACAGTCATATTCATCACTCACCATCTTTTTGTTTCCCAGTAGAAATTGTAGAAAAGGCTGATCTGTCGACACACTCTTAATCATTGTGTCCTGTACCTACCCTCTAGGCTTTAAAATCACATTATAGAAATGGTCAATGTTGTCGCTGATGGTCTGGTGGTCTGCTTTTGTTTGCCATAAAGAGACATATATGACTAATTACAGTCTGTTTCATAACCACATAGAAGCTCCTCAAAAGGGGCTTTAACAGCTAAATGTGATAAATAAGGGTAATCGGTTAATTTACATCATTGCAGATCTTTAAAATACTCCAGCTGTATCAACCAGACACTCATCATCACAACTTATACTGACCTTAGCAGCTGTTCAAGTTTTCTCTGTAGTCATTATCAGCTTTATACCCATATGAGGAATGAGGAACTAAAATATTTTTTGTAAAAATGATATCTTACCTGTGGACTTTGTTTGTAAAATGGTCTTTGCTGATCAGCGTGCACATCTCACCTGGACATGATCTTTTGTAACAGCTCCTGGGGAGGATCAGCCGGATGTCAACGTGGTGCTGTCGGCTTACAGCCAGCAGGGAGACCCGGCGCTGTATGGGGTTTACTACAACGGCCTGAAGAGGTTCATAGAATCTGTTCTGGACTGTCACCGAGCAGAGCTGTCCCAGTTGTTTTACCCGCTGTTTGTGCACATGTATCTGGAGCTGGTGTACAACAATCACGAGAATGAGGCAAGGTGTTCTTTGAAAAGTAGGTTCGCTTCACCTATATTCTGTCCCTCCAGCTGTTAACAGCTTACTTGTTTTTAGCGTGATTAAATACTTCACCTTTTAGTAACCGTGTTTCCTTTTTTTTTTTTTTTTTTCTTCATTTCAGGTTCAGCGGGGATCAGGAGTGCTACTATGCAGACGACTTGCGTGTTTTGTCAAGTCTGACAAAGAAGGAGCACATGAGAGGCAATGAGACCCTGCTGGACTTCCGCACCAGCAAGTTCGTACTCCGTATCTCCCGTGACTCTTACCAGCTGCTTAAGAGGCATCTGCAGGAGCGTCAGAACAACCAGATCTGGAATATCATCCAGGAGCACCTCTACATCGACATCTTTGATGGCATGCCGCGCAGTAAGAGCCAGATCGACGCCATGTCGGGCAGCTTGGCCGGAGAAGCGAAGCGGGAGGCGAACAAGGCTAAGGTTGGATTAATACACAAACACATGATGGGCTTTCAGTGTTTCTCCTACTTCTCTGATCAGCTTAGTTCAATTCATGTCATGTTCTTGTGTATCTCCATTTGATCAGGTTTACTACGGACTGCTGAAGGAGCCAGAAATAGAGCTGCCTCTTGATGATGAGGATGAGGAGGCAGAGAATGAGGAAGGTAAACCCAAGAAGAAGAAACCCAAGAAGGACAGCATGGGCTCCAAGAGCAAGAAGCAGGATCCTAATGCACCTTCACAGACCAGGTAGTTAGTGTGATACTCTGGCAGCTGAACATTCAGTCATTTTGTTTCATTCAACTGATGAAGTACGGGGTCGAAAGAAATCCACAGAAGTCAGCTGTAGCTCTAAAGGGTACATTTTAGTTTAACGCTATATCTGAGGTCGAGTCACGCCATGTAATCCAATCTTTGGTCAACAAACGAACATCGATTGCCTTAAAAAATAGTTTATGAGCAAAATTGAATTGCCAGTCATTAAACTACCTGAAGAAGAGTTCTGGTGGTTAGTTGCTTGTGAGAACGGCTGAAAGGTCGAACGTTCTGTTACAATTTACCGAAGCAAAAGGTAAGGAGGAAATGTAAAGACATTTCTTGTTAAGGGGGGAACTCAACCTTCTTGGCAAAGCACAACAGTGTTTGTGCATCAAGTTAAAACAAAATGCAGAGCTTTCAACTTTGTTAGGGATGAAAACATGATTCTGTTAACTCGGGCTGCTGCTGCTGCTAAGGGACAGTCTCCCTCCTCCACCAATCAAAGCAGCCGTGGTAGGCGCACCCAAGTCCCATTGGTTAAGAATATTTATTCAGTGTTGAAATCCGTTTTGAAATGGGCAGGACAAAAGCTGGTTAGCCCCCTAAAAAACCTTGGCATAACAGGAAGTGTTCAAAGTCGGCTCAGTATCTGGCAAAGGTTACTAAAACATCATCATGATTCAAATGTTACATCAAGAAAATACAATTTGAGGTTTCGTCGAGAAACTTGTTTACGACCGAGCATTAGGGCCACGTTAAGTATAACGTGGATATATATAAGAACTATTCTTATACTTGGGAGAAAAGCTAGTTTTTTTTATTTTTGCTTTAAAAGTAGAGACAGTAGTGATGGACCTCAGGCGGACAGGTAGTTTGTTCCAGAGAGACGAACCACAGTATCTAAAGGCCCCCTCTCCAGACTTTGATCTAATTCTGGGCACTGCTAAAAGACCTCCACCTGATGACCCGAGGCGTCGGGTCGGGTTGTAGTCTAAGACTTTTACTCATTGACTTGCTCTCTGTGACACAGCAGTCAGTAACAGCTGTCATTGTTGTCTGTCATTCAGGATACCTCTACCAGAGTTAAAGGATTCAGACAAGCTGGACAAGATCATGTACATGAAGGAGGCCACCAAAAGGATCCGCCTGGCACCAGATAACCTCCCCTCCATCTGCTTCTACTCTTTTCTCAACGCTTACCAGGTAAATCCCTCATAACAACCACAGGAACTCATTTTACATTCAGCACGTTTGCACATTTAAGCCAGTAGTAGAAAGTGGACAGTTGCGTTTTAATCTGCAGGAGAATGGTTTTTTTTAATTTATTTTTTGAACTTTTGTCCTGCAGGGTTTGACTGCAGTGGATTTCACAGACGACTCCAGCCTGATCGCCGGAGGCTTCGCTGACTCCACAGTACGAGTGTGGAGTGTCACACCGAAAAAACTCCGCAAGGTCAAGTCTGCAGCAGGTACTGTGTACGCATGGCTGACTGATGACATCACTGCTTTCCAGTTTTTCCTCTAACTTAAATCATTATTTCGCTCCTCTCCATGAAGACTTGAATCTGATTGACAAAGAGTCGGACGATGTGCTGGAGAGGATCATGGACGAGAAGACGGCCAGCGAGTCAAAGATCCTCTATGGACACAGTGGCCCGGTATACGGCATCAGCTTCAGCCCAGACAGGTAGAAATCATTTCATTAATTACCTCTGTTATGAAGTCAGCCTGAGCACTTTTTGTGTTGCAGCTGTTGATAAATTGATTGATAAAATAATTGAGATTAAGAGAATCAGGTAGGTCAAAGGGGGCTGTTATTTAAGAGGATTAAGAAAGAAGCAGTTTAAAATAAAGCTGGATATTTTTGTCTTTAACAGCCTCATGTATTTACTACTGACCTTTTCCTTTTGCATTCCAGGAACTATTTGTTGTCAAGTTCTGAAGATGGTACAATCAGGCTGTGGAGTCTGCAGACATTCACTTGTCTGGTGGGCTACAAAGGCCACAACTACCCAGTGTGGGACACCCAATTCTCCCCTCATGGGTACTACTTTATCTCTGGGGGACATGACCGAGTGGCCCGGTAAGTACCTGCATTACTTATTTATTCTTATGTAGCATAGTGATAATCTTTGTCCATACACAGCCGCTCTACAGACGTCGCCTCATTGGTCCATGTTGTGCTTCCTTACACAGCCTGTGGGCAACAGATCACTACCAGCCCCTGCGGATGTTTTCTGGTCATCTAGCAGATATCACTTGCACCCGCTTCCACCCCAACTCCAATTATGTTGCCACAGGATCGTCTGATCGAACCATCCGGCTCTGGGACGTCCTGAGCGGAAACTGCGTTCGCATCTTCACTGGTCACAAGGTCAGAAACATCATCAAAGCAATGCCGCTATGTTTGTTTTGACTTTAAAAGGCTGTCTATCAGTTATTTATATTAACTAGCTGATTTAATTTGAAAAGATTAAGACTCCAGTCCTTCCAAAAAGTTCTGGTGTGAGAACTTTTATTTTGTCACCCATAGAGCTAAATATGTGTGAGACTCCCAGATTTTTGTTGCCGGTTGCCCGTATTGTCTAATCCAAAGAAGACCTCTTAACCAGTTTTAACCCTTTCTCCCAGGGTCCTATCCATGCGCTGGCTTTCTCTCCCAATGGGAAGTACTTGGCTTCAGGAGCGACTGATGGCAGAGTTCTTCTGTGGGACATCGGTCATGGACTTATGATTGGGGAGCTTAAAGGCCACACTGACACAATCTACTCCCTCAAATTCAGCAGAGACGGAGAGATCCTGGCCTCTGGTGGGTGACCTTCACCATTTCATCATTTAACACCAGTTCAATATCTAGTGTCTGTTCAGTGTAGATTTTAGTGGATTTAAATCCCGTTGTTTTGTTTTGAAGTAGTGTAACTAAACGTACAATGTGTCATCTTGTGTTTTTAAGGCTCCATGGACTACACTGTCCGTCTGTGGAATGCGATGAAAGCTTACGATGATTTAGAGACGGACGATTTCACAGCAACCACAGGACACGTCCATCTACAAGACAACTCCCAGGAGCTTCTGCTCGGAACCTACATGACCAAATCCACACCCGTAATTCACCTTCACTTCACCCGCAGGAACCTGCTGCTAGCCGCTGGGGCCTACAATCCATGAGGCATCATGGAATAACTCAAGAATAACATAGTTCAAAGGCAAACGCCTGTTCCATGAATTCCACAAGGGAAAGCCTATTTGTGGTGCAGTGGGAACAAAATGTAACTATCAACAAATCACCTCTGGTGCTTATCTAACTGTGAATGAAGATACGAGTTAGGTTAGCCAACTCCTTTTTCTTGCCCTCAGTATGATGGACGCAGGCACAGAATCAAGTGGATCATTGCAGATATTCCTTGGACAAAGATAAGTGCCATGTTGACTGAGAACGGTTTTTAGAAATCACTGCCATGAGTACAGCTGGGTTCAACACGTCGCTGACATTGGGACTTTAACTGTATCATAGTATTTTATACCAGTGGACACTGTAAATAAAACAAGTGTTTTCTATGTTTTGGGCATAAATGTTCTTTATTGTTAACATAGGGAAACCAAATAGTCATTTTATCACAAGCATGTCCAGCTGCTTTCACCACCTCCAGCTGTTAGAAACGATGGTCCAAATTGATACCTGGAAGGACACAAGAAGGGTTTGAGTTAATCAACGGTATGAAACCTTGCTACCACAGTGGAAATTAAAACTATTAGAATATAGAGACGTGAATGCACTTACATGATCACTTTTCTGTGACGGCTGCCTGTTTCTTAGGCTTCAATTTGAAGAAAAGACCAATGGCTAATATGCTAGCATATGTGGCCAAAACACACTAAAAGGGAGAAAGCAAAATAAGAAATTAAAGGATGCATGACAAATTTAGGCTGCTTTGAATACGCAGTTTATATTTTTGTCAAGTTCCAAACGACTCACATTCCTCCTTCCAGTGATTGTGTAAGCGTTGAAGTACTTGGCGATCCCAGTGAACTGGTGCTGGCTTCCAGCGTCGTGTCCTCCCATGATGGATTGTTGATGGTCCTACGACAAGGAGATGAAACATGTTCAGATTAATAATGTAGCATTTGATAAACTTCAGTGTTGACCTTGGGAACATACGGTGTGTAAACTGAATCTGTCTGTGACTGAGTGAAGTCCAGGTGTAGTTTTTATCTTCAGCCTCTGGACATTTAACATCTCTCATTTGGGACTGTTCGCAGGATAAGTCAAGACATGTGAAGGGTCGACTTTAGACACTGATACTTTCCATATTTATTCAATACTAAATCTCAGTATCGAAAAAAAAAAAAAGGTTTCAGCTTAAGACTGACAAAGAAAACCACCACAGTATATAAATATATAATATATAAACACACTGTCACTGTGAAGTCTCTACAGGGTCTAACATAGGAACACATATTCACATCAGGTAGTGAGAAACTGAAGCTTCTTTGTTTTTCTTCACAACATTTGAGTGTTCAAATGTTGCAGTAAATGTCAGCTGCTGCAGGTGTTTACTAGAAACAGAGTTTGTGTTGAAGTTAACATTGTACAAGGTTAGCTTTCAATGTTAGAATTTAACTTTAGTTATGTTTAATCAACAGCACACGCTATCATGCAATTGTCAAGAACAACGTACTTTAATGACATAAGAAATGCACTATCGTTGTGTTGGAGAAAAGCACCGACAGTGGATTTATCACTCAGACTGACTTTCACCTGATAGCTTCTTAGCTAACGCACTGTGTAAAGTGTTAGCTTGCTACATTAGCCAGACAGCTAGTTTAACTTTCACACTACAAGCTGCACAGCACATGGTCCCAGAGGTCTATTACACACAATATGCTCGGTGTTTCCGGACTTTTAAAAAGTAGAGTGCAATCATTTTTCGTATTTTAGAGGTTTTAAAGACGTGTCTTACCTTTAGCACACGACCCCTGTGGAAACAGAATGAGACAAGTGTCCTTCAGCAGAGGCCGCAACGCTAAGTTCTCAAGGAAGTCCCGCCCACTCTGACACAGTCAAACAAAGCGTTATCATTGGTTCGAATGGACGTCACTCAAAGTAAGGTTCGTCAACGACTCGCGAATGGCTAAAGTAACTGTCAATCACCCTTTCTCGTCAATGATTGGCTAAAATATTGGAACGCCCTTTTGAGTTTTGCTTCCGGGTTGACGATCATGGCGTGTTGCTGAACAACATGTGAGTTGTGAACCCGACAAGAAGGAGATTTAAAGTAAGGAAAGATTTCATATTGAATACTGAAAGAACAGACACACGAATACTAAAATCAGAGTCGAGCGTTTCTATTCCGCAATCTACATTTTTTTTCAGCTCTCCAACTTGATTTGTGTTGGACCCGAGTGTGCAAATTTGTTTCTAGTAGCTTTGTTAAATTTCCCAATACCGAATTAATTCACGTTTTTATCTCTTGCTAACAATGTTTACTTACTTGAAGGATGTTATGCTTCTGCTAAAGCCCAAAGTAATATCAGCAACTGCGTCTGAAATGTACAAACAAACTGAGTAGGTCTGATGATGGGCTACATCCAGACTCATCACGTATTATAACCTTACTTATTCTGCTGTGTGCGGAAGAACACTTTTTAAATGATTTATTTAATGACTGTAACCTTTTCCCCCCTCAGAAGTCTGATAATTCATTAATCATGGCATCTGTGGAGGAGGACTTCCCTCGAGGAGGAACCACAAAGAAGCCCACTGAGAGTAAAATAGTGGTGCAGCGGACAGAGGTGGACAACTTGTTCCAGGTACTAGTCTTGACTTTTCTATCTTCCTGTCTCCATGCTACTGTTGAAAACGAATATGACTCAGAAATACTATCTGGCTACACATGGCTTTAAAGCAGCCAAGTGAAAGTCTGCACCAGTTATTCTTGATCTTTCCTGTCACACACTCTGTATAGTTTGGCTCTTATTTTGCAAACTTGGTCTGACAGAAGAAGTAAAATGTGTCTCTTCTCTCCTGCAGTCAAATGAACAAACAGAAACCAAGAAAAGAAAGGGAGCATCCAAAGATGAAGGGAAGAAACTCAAGAAGCCAAAGACAGAAAAAGAAAAAGATAATGGTCTGACCCTGAATGCTGCCGCAAAAACGGTGGAAATTCTCCACAACAAGGTAATGCATTTGTCGAGGGCTGATGTAAATGTGTTATTGGTTAAAGGGATAAAGGTTTGGGCGTGGAGCGCAGCATCTGGCTTGATATTGTTTGTGTTTTTTTTATTTGATTCCTCAGAATGTGAAGGAGGGCATGCTGATGCTTGGCTGTGTGAAGGACGTAACAGACTTCGAGGTGACGGTCGGCCTTCCTTGTTGCCTGCAAGGCCACCTCAGCATCAGGAACATCTGTGACTCTTACGCCAAGCTGCTCACTGAACAACTGGATTCAGCTGACACAGAGGTACTTCTGCTGAAGACATGGTGTGACTGTACACGCGGAGGCTGCTATTTGTTAGTTGCAGCGGGTTGTATATCAACAGAGGTTCCACACATGTTTTGACGATGATCTGAAAAATGTAGCTCGGGCGCGTCAGATAGCCTCGCCGTTATTTTGTATTTATTTATTTTTAATAGTGAAATGAAAAGACAAAAGTGACAAAAAAATCAAGTGAGAGGAAGACATTAGATAATGATGGTTACAGTAATGTATGGATGATGTAGCACAGGTGTGGGATTAGAGATCTAATAACAGTCGATGAGCAAGAGAGGGGAGCGTAAACAAAGAAAGAAATGAATTCAGTAAAATAGAATGTATGAGTAAATGAATAATTATTGTGAAAAATGGCTTGGTATTGGTAGCCTCGCAGTTTTGTGGCACGCCTCTTGTACGGAGGCTGTAGTCCTCGTTGCAGCGGTCATGGGTTCGAATCCTGTATGTCGTCCCTCACTCTCTCCTCCCCAGATTTCCTCTTCCCCCCCAGCTCCTCGCCAAAATAATTGCAAATCAATTGCAGTGATCCCCCCATCTCTACCGTCTTTGGAGGTAGTAACAGAGGCGAGACAGTTTCAGCAGAGCCAGCAGGGGAGCACAGCACAGTGCTGTGTGTGCGTGTGCATCTCTGACTTTGTGTCTATGTGGAGCTCCCGCTGTGCGTGCCTCTGCAACGCAACGCAATATGAATTCACAGATGGGGACACCACTCTGAATGTTCAGAGAAGTGATGACGGTTGAGTTTAGTTACCGCACTTTACGAAAAAAGCATTCTGTTCAGGGCTACTGATGCCGGACAGCGCCCCCTGCTGGTTAAGAAAGAGTATCGTTATCGGTTGTAATGTATATATTTATATATTTTGGCCTCATTGGTTTAAATGGTCAGCTTTCACATCTATTTTTAGTATTGTTGATACAGCTCTAGTTTCAGGGCAGGTTTCTGAGTATTGATCTGTGGAGCCTAGGAACAGACAGTAACCTTCTGTACCTTAGACCAAATGAAATTCATTAAGCTCTTTTATTTCAATACTTTACACATGTCTTAGTCTCAGAATATAATGTGATGTCTCTTTTACTTCACAGGACATCTGCTCTCTGCCTCACCTCTTCTACCCTGGCATGCTGCTCAGGTGTGTGGTTCACAAGTTGGATATCGCCAGAGGAGGCTCTCCCAGCATCCAGCTGTCAATCAATCCAAAGCTGGTCAACAAAGCGTTAACTTCCAGCTCTCTGAAAGCCGGAATGGTGAGTCCTTACAGCGATCTTTGACGTCCACATTTGCTTTTAAAATAATCCTTTTTTTTAAAAATCCAAACATTTTGTTGAATTGTTATTTTGTGACGACTCAGGTCTTGAGTGGATGTGTGGAGAGTGTGGAGGATCACGGCTACATAGTTGACATTGGCATCAGTGGAACCAAAGCCTTCCTACCTAAGACAACTGTGAAAGATGTACTCGACAATTCAGGCGGTATGACAGACGATTTAAGATCTCCTTCATAAACTCAGAGAATACACTCAGTCTCAGTTTGAAGGGGTTGCAGTGAGGTCTCATGATTCTTTTTTTTCAAACATGTGATTGTTCTCATATTTCCAGAACTCAGAGTGGGTCAGTATGTGACTTGTCAAGTGGAGGAGGTGAAGAACGATGGTCGCGTGGTCCGCCTCTCTGTCAGCCCCCCGACCGTCGCCCAGGCCTGGGCTGAATCTGCACAGGGCTGGAACCTCACCAACCTTCTGCCTGGACTTCTGGTCAAAGCTACGATCAAAAAGGTAGAGACGTCATTCATATAAGGGATTCTGTTATTTATTTAATAAATACTAAGATTATACAGCTTTTGAAAAAGATAAGACAACACGGCAAAAAATAGGCAACATTTTCTCCCAGCTTACCAAAGTTCCAAATAAAATATTCTCATTTAGGTGTTTGGTTTGAAGAAAATGAAAATAGTTGATAAGACGTAGAGATGCTAATTTTTCAGGCAAGCGAAAACTGCAACAGAATACTGATGTAGGAAGAGTTCAGAAATGACGTGATTATTTAAGTCAAACAATGCAGATTTTTTTTAAATCACAGCCAACATGCATCTTGGCATGCTGTGCTCTGCTCCTCCACATCTCTGTTGGTTAACAATATGCCGCTTTTAGCCTTGAGCAGCTGTGGCTCAATGGAAGAGACGGCCATCTCTCAAGCAGAAGGTCGGGGGTTTGATCCCCAGCTCCTGCAGCCACATGTCGGATGTGTCATTTGGCTAAACACTAAACCCCACTGCTACGTCAGCGGCGTGTGAATGGGATCAGGTACTTCTGATGGCCACTTCAGATAGCAGAGAAAAATTATATTTTTTGCAGTGGTGTGTTAATTTTTTCCAGAGCTGTAATTGTTATTAACAATGGGAGGGAATTCTGATACAACCTAAATCTTTTATATTCAAACTCTACAGTGAATTATCTAACTTTGCTCTTATTAAAGTTGTTATTTGTAACTCAGTGGAAGTAAAGTGTATTTGTAATAAGTCTTCATGTTGGTGTTACAGGTGACCACACATGGTCTGCTCTTGGACTTCCTGTCCTCCTTCTGTGGCCAGGTGGACTTCCTCCACATGGAGCCGGACCAAAAATCAGTCTACACCAAGGGATCTGAGGTAAAAGCAGACCTGGATCACGTGGATCATTTGAACTTATGTGAGACACTAAATCACTGCTTTCAGTTTTCTGGTCTAGTGGATCATCCTGGTATTCATCTCTCCTCCCAGGTGCGAGCCCGTGTGCTGTATGTGGAGTCGTCCACCCGTCTGGTGGGTCTCAGCCTGCGCGGTTACCTGGTTCAGCCTGGGACCAGAATTGAAACCTGTCCTGTTGTAGGCGACCGCATCGGTGAAGTGGTGAAGGACTGCAAGATGAGCAGCATGCACCACATGTCTGGAGCCATGTTGGAGTTACCGGACAAGACGGCGGTCTTTGTACATGTGAGTCAGGGTACACGTTAAATATTCATCTAGTTTTACTGATGATGATTATATCAAAGCTTTAGAAACTCTCTGTAAGTATTCTGCTGAATCAGCATTGGTAATGATGAGATGGGATAAGATAGAACTTTAATAATCCTGAAGGGAATCCCTGTACCATGTTGCTCCAAATAAAGTTCAAATGGAGTAAAACAAAATCGAAGAGAAAAAAAAACATGAAGCATTTCATACAGTCCCAGTTAGATAAAAAAAACAGTGCTTTAAAGAGAGAAATCGAGGTATGATAAGTTAAGTGACAGACTCCCTCACTAAGAGCTAACCCGTATTGTGCCTAAGCACCAGTTCGTTTGACCAGTGTGAGTTTAATGGGTTTGTAGAAACTAGGGGTGGGAGTCTCCAGAGTCCCCACGATGCGATATTATCGCGATACTCGAGACACGATGCGTACTTTTATTCTTTGGCTTTAACTCCAAATGACAGTTGTGTGGTCTCTGTCTTTCTGTATTGTTTTTATTTTCTTGTTTACTGTTTTTGTCTTTTAGGAGGTTTCATGGCTTGTATGTGCTTTATAAGGTTTTATGTATTTTACAGTGTTTTTTTTTTTTTTTTTTTTTTTTTTTAAAATCCGCTGTGTTTCTACATTTTCCTCACTGTGCAGCACTTTGATACAAGTTTTTTTTTTTTTTTAAATGTGCGATATAACTAAAGATGTTTGGATAATAACCAGTTCTGTCCCTCCTGACAGAGGAGCCACCTGAAGGAGGCGAATGCCCCAGCTAATGATAACAGAGTCATGGCCGAATATGAGCACACCTGCAGGATCCTGGACTACAGCCCCATGGACCAAATTCATTTCGCTACTCTGCGAAAGTAAGTGGTCCCTCTTTAGTCTTTTTCTTACTCCACAGTTATCACAGACCTCTATTTTCTGATTGAATATACTTTAAACCTTCTCTTTGTTTTCAGGAGTGTGATCGCCAGGCGTTTCTTTAGATACCAGGACCTGCAGGCCGGTCAGATTGTAGAGGTAAGAAAAGATCATCTCCGTTTTCCAACTAATGAAGAGAGTCATATAAAAAGGTCTTCAGCTTTGGAACTCAAATAAAATAATTTGAAATCATCCAGTGGGATGCCTTGGGGCAGTGTGACATCAGTGTTACTCACAGTTAGGGAGCCTCTAAAGATGAAGGTTAAAGTGGCACACAGACTAAGTGACCCTCTCTGTAGAGTGCTCCTGTTTCCTCCGTCACTCTTCCTCTATCTGCTGTCAGTCTCACACTGCCTCCTATGTTTGTGTGCCTTCCAGGGGACCGTGTCAGTCCTGCTCAGTCATGGCATGGTGGTGCATCTGTCTGACCACATCAAGGGCCTCGTGCCTCGGACCCACCTGTCCGACATCATCCTCAAGAACCCGGAGAAGAAGTACTGCGAGGGAATGAAGGTCAAATGTCGGGTGAGTCCCCTTCTCTACTTCTCTGCATATTAAAGTCTAAAAGTCATGTTTTAAATGTGAGTTAATCCTCTGTGTTTGTATCTGATTGTGTTCATCCAGGTGTTGTCGGTGGACGCGGAGAGTAAGACGCTGTACCTGACCAGAAAGAAGGCCCTGGTCGAAAGCTCCCTGCCGCTGTTCCTCAGCTACGCAGACACCCGCCCCGGCCGCGTTTCTCACGGCTACATCGTCACCATGAAAGAATTTGGCTGCATCGTTCGTTTCTACAACGACGTCAAGGGTCTGGTGCCGCTCAGCGAGCTCAGCTCTGAGCCCATCATCAGTCCTGAGGAGGTCTTCTACGGGGGCCAGGTGAGGGGTCAGACACAGAGGGATCTCTCCAGATGAAATGACAACATGTCTGCCCTTGTTCATAATTTATTTACAGTCTTGTTGAAACGTTATATTCATGATAAGATGCTAAAGAACATTTCTCTCTTCTGCTTAGCTCGGTATATCGTTGAGAACTGACCTTATTTTCTGTCATCTTATCAGATTTAGGCTGAAAACAAACAGCTCACTCTACATTATCAGTAATTTGACACAAAATAATTGGATTCATTTAAGGAAATAATTTAATACGGCCCCTAAATAAATCCTAATTTGGAATCTATACTTTGAGCTGCGTCGATGGTTAACCCTGCAGTTTTTTTTTTTTTAAACGAGCTAACTTTTATTTCTCACAATTGGAACGGAACGTTTCCACCGATGGTGAAGTGAGAAAGGTGAAAGGGTCCCCCAAAAATCAGCGTGGAAGCTGGCTGAGTTTACTGCCCCGTTGGCTATGCGTGGCTTCGGGAGCACTTGCACGTCTGCCCTGTCTCTATGACAACGGCTGCTGTATGATCGACACTGCTCCGTTACTTTTTACTGTTTTTATTTGATTTTAGATGATTTATTTCCCGTTCAGACACGGAGCACAGACTATGTAGGTATAAGACACGATCAGTAGACGGCAACACTACGGGGAATATCTTATTATTTGGAAAAGAGCGCCGGTGACGTTAACAGAGCCTCTCTGAAAAGTTCAAAGATTTTTAACTTGAGCGCTCGGAATGGCCGCAAAAAAACAGATGCTGGGAGCTTTCTTCAGGCGGCAAACACACTCTACTCTGAAAACAATTGAAATAAGACGCTGCTGTTTAGATAGAAATGCTAGATGAACACAGGGCCTGTCAGTGTCTGTTTCCACTTCATGCTAAATGGACTTGAGCTCGTGTAGGAGGACTCATTGGACATGTGACTCCCCCCCGACCTTCTGGTTGAGATGCGACTGACTCTACCACTGAGCCACAGCAGCCCCACGTTACTTTCCATTGTGCAGTCCTTAAACTCCGCTGTGTCCCATGAAGTGTTCCGCTAGTGTTCACTTTTTCTTTCTTCATAGCGTCTTATTATTGTACCTCTCAACGTCTCTTTTGTTTTTCCTCAGACAAACGTCAAATGAACCAGACTAGTCTCTACGTGTTGGTGTGATTACAGTTAGTCCTGCAGGGTTCAGGATTCAAGCTGCTTCACGAGTATCACTCTCTTCTTCATAGCAATGGTTTGTTTTTCATAACAATCCATCCCGTCAAGGAAAAGCAGACCATTGCTATGGATCAAGAATTCAACACAGCTGTGTATTAAAACTACTTCATAGTTGTGAATAACCTAATTATAACATCAGTATAGACCATTTTTAACCTTTTTTGGCAGTGGTATTTCAAGTTGTACCTTTTTTTTTAATCAAGGGCTAAATGTTCGACAGCTTTCTTTCATTTGGGAACACATTTGAACCATGTTTTTTTTTTTTTGTGCGTTTTGAATTCCAGGTATTAAAGGCTAAAGTTCTTCAGTGTGACCCCGATAAGGCGAAGATGATTCTGTCGTTCAAGGCTGCGGCGGAGGTAGACATGCCCCAGGTTGACTGTGAAGTTGGGCAGGTACGTCTCAGACCCTCAGGCCGGTTTGTTTGTTTCTGTTACTTAAAATCCTGTTCATCTCATTTTGACCCGTGCGTTTGTGTTTTTGTGACGCAGAAGTTGGAGGCCAGGGTGTTGAAAAAGTTGGTCAACGGTCTGGAGGTGGCGATCCTCCCTGGTGAGAACCGTGCCGTGTTACCCACAATGCACCTTTCTGATCACATTTCCAACTGTCCTCTGCTGTGGGAGAGCGCGAAGGAGGGAGACGACATCTCCGACCTCATCTGCTGCAACAAGAACAAGCAGAATATTGTATCCTTTTTATACGGATCTGTGAACGTGATCACAGGAGAAAAGTCTGAAATATTTCACTTTTTTTTTAGTGCTCAGTGGGTAAATGAACACATGTCCTTGTGATAAAGAGAGGGAAAGTGTTTGTTTTCCTTAGCTGCCCCACTCTTAAAGACCATCACCAAGAAACCAGCAGTGAGATGGACTCTGGAGGAAGGAGTGGTTGCCAAGGATTTCTCTGAAATCACAGTTGGGATGCAGCTGATTGGGTGGATCAAGAACATGATGTCCTATGGCGTCTTTGTAGAGTTCCCGTACGGCCTCATTGGTCTTGCACCCAAGTCGGTGAGTAAACGGCTTTCTACTGTTTATTTTAACCTGAAATGATAGGCCTTGTTGTTCATTTTTTCTCTTTTTTAAAACTCTTCTTCAGGCTATGTCCGATAAGTTCATCAGTGACACAACAGCAGTCTTCCAGCTGGGCCAGACGGTGGTCGCTAAAGTCACCAACCTGGATGAGGAAAAGCGGCGGTTCCTTGTGACGCTGAAGATTACAGAGGTCGCATTGCCCGAGGGAGACGCCCAAACCAGACTCATTAATGGTCTGAAGGAGAGAAGAGCTGTGACTGAAATGTTAGTCAGCAGAGGTACGGTTGCATTGCAGTGTCATCTACTTTCTCTTATCTTAGCTTGTGATCAAATAAAGAAGAGTTGCATCTACCCAAATGAGATCTTAGTTCATTCATTTGAAGTTAGTCCTCAGTGTAACCTCTCATTCTGTTTGTCTCCCCTCTCAGATAACAGTGATCTTCACCAGCAGCTGGCAGCTCTGTCTGTCGGTGAGAAGCTGAAGCTGACTGTAGACACTGTGAAGAACAGTGGGGCCACCTTGAAGTCAGATGATATGGCTGGTGCTACCATAATGGCCTCAAAGCACCACGTCATGGGTATGTACCAAAACAGAAAGATTTGAAATTTAGCAGAAAAAATCATCAGCATTTCACTCCTCTACTGACTCCTCTTGCCAACATGAGATGTTTTCACACATGCTGTGATATTAAACATTACACAGAAGTCGTCACAGACCGAGCAGCACTGTGACTCCAACTGATTTACTGATCTTCATGTGTAAAATCAATGATGTGATCATGAAGCCTGTGAGCTATGAGGCTGCCCATAAAGTGAGTTCAATGCATGCCTTGTAATAAGGTTTTTTTTTTTTTTTTTTTTTCATCTGTAATGTTTCCAGATGTTAATCTGACCCCAGGACAGAAAGTTACGGGAGTCGTCCTCCATGTTAACATGCTGACCTCATGTGTCCACGTGTCCATGCTTTCCAAGCTGGTGGGAAAGAAGAAATCTGTGAGTTAACTTATTACAAGTTTCAAAACTATGACCATGTTTCTGCTTTTTGTGGAGCTCTCTGGCTGAATATAAATGTGCATCCCTGCCCTGATTTTTTTTTTTTTTAATGGAGGGAGCAGCCGGTTTTCACAGGTCACTCATTCACAGTCGGTTTGTCTTGATTCCATGTAGTGATTGCGCCTTGTTGTGTGTTTTCATTTGTATTTCCAGTTAACTGAAGGATCGAAGTACACAGCCATGATGGAGTACATTGACCAAGACTTTGCCGTCATCTCATTGGACGATACCGCACAGCTGACTTTGATTCATGCCAGCAACCACCTGAACGAGATATTTCGGTCTGAGTCGGAGAAGCTGACGGTGGGGATGAGTGTGGCCGTTGAGGTCGTAGAACCAAGCTGCAAAGAACTGCAGGGGCTCCCTCTAGTGGCGTGGGAGCGCAATAATCCAGATAGACGTCGCTCAACCTCAGAGAACCAGACAGGGTCTAAGGGTCACAGGTTTGGTGACATCGTGCAGTGCAAAGTGAAGACTGTGAGGCCTACCTCCATTCAGGTCACACTCGACGATGGGAGCACAGGAAGTGTGCATGTGTCAGAAGTTTCAGAGAGTTTCGAAAGTGTGTGCAGGATCCTTCCCCACGTCCTCAGTCAAAGTTGGCAGCGAGCTCACCGCCAGGGTCATCGGAGGACGAGAGGCCTCCAGGCACAGGTAACAACTACTGGAGGGTCTCACTTTACATAATGGAATAGACATTTCTCAAACCAACATGAAAGTGGGAAAGAAAGTGTGATGATGGTCTGCAATGAAATAACAAATAGTTTCTATTCTCTTATTTCAGATTCTTACCCTTCTCCCATCCCAAATTCATATACACCGTCCCTGAGCTCACTCTTATCCCAAGGTAAATTATATGTCAAAGTTTCAAGTGAATTGTAATTACCATGACAACACATCCATGGTATACTACAGTCATTATAACCTGAATAAAATGTGGAATAACCTCTGCGTTTCCTTTTCTCCCTGCAGCAAACTCGACCAGAATACCGATATCAATCCAGTCACAGCTGAAGACAAACTAAAGAGCTTAGAAGTTGGGGCAGAAATCCCATGCTTTGTATCAAAGGTAAGATCACGAGACTGTAAGATAATGCAGAACCTGAATTTTACAAAAAAGAAAACTTTTAACTTTAAAGGAGTAAAAATGCTGCTGAGGCTCACTTCCATTGTGTTGCGGCTTCTTCCTCCAGTTTCTCCTGGAGAAGAAGTCTTTGGAGGTCGCCATTGATCCTTGTGTTACTGGGACAGTTGAACTGCTGGCCATGATCACTGATCCAAAGGTAAGAAACCCAAATGATTATAAATCAGAAGGAGCTATCAGAATTATGAGTTGGTGTGTCTGCGATTCTTATTTAATGCCATGAACCGGAGGGTCGCCGATTCAAGTCCGAATGCGGAAAATAACATGGAGGTTGGTCTGGTAGCTGGAGAGGTGCCAGAGCACTTTCCGAGAACTGTTACACCACCAGCCTTTCCCGCCTGGAGGACCACAGCCTCCGTACTTGGGGTGTGCGCACTAACCAGTCTACAGTTGTGTCCCTTTTTATCACTCCCTGTAGACAAAGCATGCCAATAGCAACCCTCCATGCTGGAGGAACTGTGGCTGCCTGGCTGTAAACCACTTTCATATTCTCTGTGAATGAAGTTAGAACTTACAGAATGACTGGAAATATATAAATGATTCAATGCAGCACATTGTTAACACCAAAATACCCTTTGATTTCAAAACCCACATATATTTGAATTACCCCTCCTCTGAAGTGTAAAATATGGAAAATGACTTGATGAATACAGTTTTTTTTTTTGCTGGTGGCAGGAACAGAAAGCTCTCACCAAAAGATGAGAGATGCATTCCGCAGCTACAGCAGATAACTGGATAGATGTGACAGTGGAGGGTTACATGATGGGGGAGGTTACTTGCTTCAAATCTAAAGTTAGAAATATTCTGATTACAAAACCCCTTCAACTTAGTTTAGTTAAAATAGTGAATTGAAGGAACCTTCATTATGTTGTATCTTTATCTGTGATCTTTATGTCCTAACACTTCATTGAACTGCTACTTGACTTTAGTTTAGCTCATTTTTCCTTACTTTGAGTCACCTTATCTCTGGATATTTATAATTATGTTATGGCTCCTTTAAGTACCTTTTAAAAAAAAGAGTCATCTGAGGCTATGTTGCAAAAGCTAAGTGTGCAATCTTGGTTAAATGTACTTATTCATATTTAAAGTGATACACTTTATTAGTCTCTGGTGTTCACTCTGTTATTGAGAGACCTGCCTCTCACACACAAAGGCCCAGACCAACTTCCATATTTTCCGGACTGGGACTTGAACCAGCGACGCTCCAGTTACAGACTGAGCTCCTGCCGCCCCAGCTCCTCACATGTAGTATATCTCTGTGTCTGTAGTTATTTTGTCACCTGTAATTGTAACAACAGTGTACTCTGGGACAATAACGATATTAATAAATAAATACATGAATTAATTCAATTGAACCCTCCAGGATAACTGCAGGATTTAATATATATGTTTTATGAGCACATGATGGATTACATTGTCTAAATCCTTTTTCGTTTTTTCTTAAGGATGCGAGCCACCCAGAGAAGTTGCACAAGCTGGGCAGCGCCGTGTACGCCAAAGTGGTCGAAGCAAGCTCCAACCCTCAACGCCTCGTGCTGTCACTCACAGGTAACAGAAGCTCCGACTGTTTTCAGTGGAAACGGCCTCTAGTCACTCAAGTTAACAGCTCATTTCTTAACACCTTTGCCTGTTTGTCGTTTGTCACCTGCAGCTCTTTCTTCAGGTTGTTTTCAGAAGTAAAACCAACAAGCTTAGTTTTATTTTCTGTCGTTTTGTTTTTGTTTCTCCAGGAGTCCATAAACTGGAGAAAGGCAGTGTGACTTTGGGGATGGTGACAAATATTCAGCCACATGTTGGCCTTCATGTCAAGCTTCCCTTTGGTGGCACGGGCACCGTCTCTGTCACTGACCTGGCTGATACGTACAGGCCCAACCCTCTGGGCAACTACAGCAAGGATCAGCTGCTCAGGTCAGAAATATTTTACAGACGGAGTTTGAGCAAAGAAACCCTCTCATTTATCCTTCAAGTCTTTGCTTTGAAAAGTTGTACTTCAATTTCTGATATTGTTGTGTGTGAAACTCAAGAAGTTTGTTTTTAACTGTAATATAGGCCCAAATTGATGATGGGATACCGGTAACTGGAGCGCAATTGTGACATATCAGCAACAATTTATAGATATTAGTGTCATACAACTATCATGCTTCAAAAACCAGCTTTTATCACCCTGCAGCGGCCATTGTGAAATGGGCACGCCCACTTGTATAACTGGCCCCGGCCCTTAACGGCTGGGGGAAAAATAGACTTTCAATACCTATACTCATATTTGACATATGAATAAAATTTGAAACTTAACACACAGTTTCCTATTTCATTCTAACTGTAAAGTCATTATAAGTATGCTGCCATCAAATTTGAAGTATTGACCAATCAAATGATGCCTTTTTATGGCTACACAGGCTTGTAACATTTTAGGACAGAGAGTTCTGTTGATGGGACAGATGGGGCAACATGTGAGGGGGGAAGGGACTCGACTTTCTCAAGGCTGTATTTCCACCTTTCCTTCATCAGTGTCATCCACAGCGACTGCTTCGGTTCAGAGAGTCTCTGTATAATTTACTAACTGAGAAAGCATTTCCTAAGAAGACGAGAGAAACCGACAAAACAACGGAGGGAGGACGGGAGGTAGTGCTGAATGTTCCAGCCTGCTCTGATCGTCTGTATATGGTCTTAAAAGCACACAGACTGTTTCTGTTGGAGACATACTTATGAACAGACAGCACAGTGCACCTCTCTCGCTCTCATTGAAAGTCATTGTAGCTCGCCCGACAGTGATCTCCCTCCCTCCCAGCTATCAAGATAACAACAAAAGATAATGCATTCAGAACAGAACAGAGAAGAAAGTGACAGAGTGCAGAAAAATGTGATGTACTGGTCTTCAAACATTCTAGAAATAAATAATCAGAGTATTATTTTTGCATTCGGCAATAAGAGCAGCATGCTTTACTTGTGTGTGTCCATGAGTCAGTGAGTAATGAACCAAAAGCTTCCTGAGTATCGCAAATATTTCAGAAACAAATCTTGAGCAGGCTTTTTAAAAAGTATAGAATCATGTATGACAAGAGGAATTAACCATTTTGGCCCCTCCATCATGTGTCCTCAGGGTTTGCCTTCTCGCAAGTGAAGACGGCAAGTGGCAGTTGTCTCTACGTCCGTCAAGGTAGGAGATCGTTTCATGTGGTTTGAAAAAAATATCCAGAGTGTCACAGGACCGGTATCTTCCGATTACGTCTGGCTGACTTTGACTCTGTCGTCAGGCTCAACACACAGCAGACCAAGCCGGGGAAGGACCTGGAGGTTTTGTCAGTAGACAGTCTGAAGAAAGGTCAGATCATCCGAGGCTACGTCAAGTCTGTGGGAGAGCAGGGGGTCTTCATCAGGTACCTGAGAAATACATCCAGCACTGATATATTTACATCGAACCTTTTTGACATCTGGACAAACAGTTAATAAGCATTTGAATCTATAAGAGAAACAACTTTTCTTCTGGCTCAGTTCTTTGCCTTTTATTCTTGTTAACATATGTATCTATAGTTCCTGTTTATGAAGACGGCTTCATGTCACTTTTTTTTCCTGCTAGATTGTCGAGAAGCATCACAGGAAGAGCCCGACTTCAGCAGTCAACCAATTACTTTGTCAGAAACCACAAAGTCCTCTGTGATCACCTTAGTGTCAACACCCTGCTCACCACCAAGATCCTCAGGTAAAAAAAAAAAGGAGCACAGATCAGACCTATTGCTTGAAATAGATTTTGGACAAAAAAAAATGAAGAAGTGTTGCAGTGCTGATGGTGTGTGTCTTTTCTAAAGATCCAGTGCAGTGTATTTCTGTCATCACGTCTATTTTAGCCTGCAGCTCTTTCTATTCTCGTCCTCAGTATTGACAAAGAGGAGGAGTTTGTCGACCTGTCTCTGCTCCCAGCGGACACGGGAAAGTCAGACGTCCTGCCAGAGTCTCTGGGTCTGCCGCTGCGTCTGGTCGGTGGCGAGAAGAAGAAACACGATACTCTGAAGAAAAAGGCCAAACGCTCATTGCCTGAGAGCGAACAGGTAACAGTCTCCTGTCCTTCTCTTCTTCCTGCTTTACATTAAAGGGTTAAAAAATTATAATTTGCAGAGGTCCTGGAGGTGAACAGCACTCCATCAAAGGAAAACCATTTCCAAATGGATCAATACAATCTTCAGTTATCACTCATACATTATCTCTTGCTTAGACGGTAATGAATTCTGCATTGATCCGAGCCTCTGTTTACAACTCTCTGCATACTGCGCAGCTTTAATTGCAGCCAGATGGTCACAGAAGCACTTGTCACAACAAGTATGTATTATGGTTTATTTAATCCTTGATGATGTTCTTTACTGTTGTTGTATTCACCAGAAACAAGCAGAGGCCCCGGTCCCAAAGAAGAAGAGAAAAACCACGAAAGCGAGGGCTGAGGACAGCGACAGTGGAGTGGAGGTTTACTTCAGAGAAGAGGAGGATAAGGAGGACGGAGAGGAACCCAAATCCGATTCTGTAAAAGTAAGCAGACATGCTTCTGCGCCATGTTTTAAAAAAAAATGTATAATAGACTCCATGGATTTGGCACAAAGAATTATTGTTTTTCAGAGCTTTCGAAATAAAGGTTTCCCTCCCCTCTCTCAGCAGGTGACAGAGAGCTCATCAGGTCCATCCAGACTACAGGTGGCGGCAGGTTTCTCCTGGGATGTGGGTCTAAACTCCCTGAAGCCTGCCTCTGCTGCGCAGGAGGGAGATTCAAGTGATGGAGAGGACCAAGAGGGAAGCAGCAAGGTAAAACTGGCTGAGGCCTCTTACCGCATCCTTCTCTGTTAACCCATTTTTACATTGCAAATCCAAAACAGCAGGGTAACAAATCTCAGCCGTCATTCTGCCTTTGGTCTTTTATTTTGAACCAGAACAGCATAATGTTGGTGCCCCAGTGGGGATTTTACATTGTGACGGCATTGCAGAGGCAGGACATGTCTACGGACATCGTCGACTAGATCCAAGTTATGAAAACACTCAACGCAGTCAAAATAGTGTTTCTGTAACATGGCTAAACATGAGAGCACAGCGTCAGCGGGTTAATGATGTCAATTTGGTTTGCAGAGTGTGGTTAATGTAAACGGTTCTAGCACAGCCAGCCTTCAGTCCTCCATCCAGGTTAACGTCCACATGATGCCTGTGCTGGTTATGCACTGCTCTGGTTGAGTGGTCATATGCCAGGTTAACCTGATACAGCCTGCACACAACTCAATCTCCATTTTGCAGATAAACATACTGCCAAACCTTTCTGCGTTAGGCCATGCCATCCGTCCACTGTGCTGGTTTACATCCAGTTAGTAGAGCAATGCGTAGTTCTGGTGCCTGCTAGCTAGGGTGATGACTTTAGTGGTTTAGTCAGCTAATTGTGCACATCTGAGGCTGGCTCGGCAGCGAGTGACTTTGTCCTTCCATTGCGCCTGAAATCTACATTTACGAGTGGGCGTAATAGGGGCCCCGCCTTAAACTGGCAATGAAAAAGGGGGCTGTCTTCTTTTTTTTTAAATCAAATCAGCAAATGAATGCATGTTTTGCACTCCTTTTGGCAGCCCCAGAAGAAGTCTCGCCATGAGCTGGAGCAGGAGAAGAAGGCAGCAGAGAAGGCCCTGGTGCAGAGGGAGGTGGAGCTGATGGATCCCAGCCTGCGGCCTCAGGATGCAGCTGCCTTTGAGCGCCTGCTCCTTGCCTCGCCCAACAGCTCCCTGGTTTGGCTTCAGTATATGGCTCACCATCTGCAGGCCACTCAGATCGAGCAGGCACGAGCGGTGGCCGAGAGGGCCCTCAAAACCATCTCCTTCAGGTGAGTGACAACATTTAAGTTCTGTATTTCATTCCACTATACGAGTGTCATTAAGAAAGGTTTAATTTTTTTTACCGGAACAGCTGCACAAACTTAAACAAAAAAGTACAATTTCAAAACGGTAACCAGACATCCTTATCTATATGCTGAAAATATATTTTTTTATACATTTTTGCACCAATTTTGTACCAGTGTCTTTTGGAGTGAGAAGTTAGTGAGTGGCTGTTTCGATAGATGTCGGACATTTTGACAACTAGAGGGTTGATTATCTCTGGAAATGTTGCCGCATGATGGTTGCAGGGAGGAGCAGGAGAAGCTGAACGTGTGGGTTGCCCTGTTGAACCTGGAGAACATGTACGGCACAGAGGAGAGCCTGAAGAAAGTGTTTGAGAGGGCGCTGCAGTTCTGTGAGCCCATGCCCGTCTACCAGCAGCTGGCAGACATCTACGCCAAGTCCCACAAGATGAAGGTAACATCCACATGGTGTTTAAATTCCCAATTCACCTTAGCTTTTCAGTAATTTAGACATCCTGTCAGTTTGTTCAGACAGATGATGACATTTTGTATTTTGCAGCCACTAATGACTGCATGTCTTTTTGTGTGTTTTCTTCTTTGTGTCTTGTTGCTGTCCAGGAGGCGGAGGGTCTGTATAAGACGATGGTGAAACGTTTCCGTCAGAATAAGGCAGTGTGGCTGAGCTACGGGACCTTCCTTCTGCAGCAGGGTCAGAGTGACGCTGCCAGTACTCTCCTGCAGAGGGCGCTGAAGAGTCTGCCTTCCAAAGAAAGTAAGAGGGCATATCCAGACACTGTTTCATGTCTTCTTTGAATTTTGGACTATAAAACGACTCTTGATTGAAACCAGCGGGTTCCTCCTCAAACGTTGTCAGAGTGCAGATTCTGCTTCTGTGTCCCAGCTGTGTACCGCCACAGTTTTAAACCTCTTTCACATTGTTATGCTCCCCCTCAGGTGTGGATGTGATTGGAAAGTTCGCTCAGCTGGAGTTCCGCTATGGTGACGCAGAGAAAGGTCGCACCATGTTCGACAAAGTCCTGACAAGTTACCCAAAACGTACAGACCTCTGGTCCGTCTTCATCGACCTCACAGTCAAACATGGATCACAGAAGGACGTCAGGTGAGCAGAAGCCCTTTGCCTTCAAATTAGCTTTCTGACCTTAATTGGTAAAAAAAAAATGACATTGCATCAAACCTCATCAGCCTTAACAGTTGTAAATGGTAAAACACTGATATTTTAAGTGCATAAGGATTGTTTTTTGAGACCACACAAAAGGAATTATTCATGGAGTTATCCAACTTCCTTTCTCCTGCAGGGCGCTCTTTGATCGTGTGATCCACTTGAGTGTTTCAGTGAAAAAGATCAAGTTCTTCTTCAAACGCTACCTGGAATATGAGAAGAAGCACGGCACCCCGCAGAGCATCCAGGCAGTCAAAGAAAAGGCCATGGAGTTTGTGGAGGCTAAAGGAACCGAGGCTGCCAACTAACGACATCGTGTTGGTGTGTGGACTGCAGTGTGCTGAACTGGATCTGAGACTTAACTTCTTCTGTAGTATTTTATGGCTCAGGCTTCTCCCACAGATTCCTCCTTAGTCAACTTCTTTATCTTGTAATGTAGCTTTTTGTAATCAATTTTGACTGGGGAACGGAAAGTCTGGGTTTGATGCGACCAACAAAACTGTGTAACTTGGGCTGTAATCCTATATGAATGTTAAAAAAAACAAACGTGAGCTTAGAATAATATGTATGATGACTCTACGTATTTTAAATGGATTTATTAAATGTTTCTGTAAACTTTTGGGAGGATTTTCTAATAATCTTTATCAGCCCTTCAATAAATCCAAACACCATTACAATACATTACGTGACGTTTTATTTAAAAGCAACAAATACAAAATAACAATATATAGGGACATGTTTACATACGATACATACAGGCAAGACTAGTTTTCTATCAGTCTCTTTTTAAAAGGGAAGGGCCTGGGACACAGTTGGTAACAATATTGTCTACTACTTCATGGTTGTAATCCCGCTGGTCTTGTGTTCAGCCGGAGGGTTGTGGCTAGCTCTGACTGCTGGAGAATTTCACCTACATTGGCAGTATTGACGATGCATGTGTGGCACAAGGTTATAGGGTGACTGACATGGTTTGTGCTGGCTGTTTTGGTAACACCCCTGAGATATTAGAGGTATCCATAATGATCCTGTTCTCTGATGTTCTGCTCAAAGCCCGAAGTGTTTGTCTCTGGCAGTGCTGCTCTAGTCGTCCTTGACAGTGGCAATGATATCCTGCTCTCTAATGTGGCTCCTTTTTTTTCCTGTCATGTTTATTGATGAACAGTGCAATATGGAAGTAGAACTTGGAGCTTTTTTATGAGAAGGTCCTATTCATCGACCCTTTCAATGATCAGACCAAATAGTTTTGGCGCTGTCAATATCCAATTCTCACAACGGCATATTGCTCAAAGGTCAGTGAGGGCGGCCACTTGAGATCATTTCCAACATTTCATGTGAGATGTCCTAAAGATGGCCACTGTCCATCATCCCTTGTGTGTTCAATGGGTTTTTTTTCTGAATGGGGAAGTTTCCTCTTTCGGAGTTCCTTCACACCTCTTCTGGGTCCATTGGACCTTCAGCCCCCTGGGGATTGTCTGTGTGGAGCCGGAGGATGGGTTTGTTACACATGGGGCACACGCTGCGGATCTCCAGCCACTTAAGCAGGCACCTAACAGGAAAAAAAAACAATACAATGCTGTCAGTGATTTTATTTAATTTTTTTTTTTCTCCAAAAAAACATAGGATACTAATTATGTTGGGGTTTTGTATTATCATATTAACAGGGTCTATCCTCAAATGCATAATGTTAGTAAAAGAGCTTGATAAAGCTGTTCGATATCTGAAATAAGAAGTAGTCTAATATACTGCCTAATGCATTCACCATTGAGCTAAGAAAAAGAAACACACAGGTCTACTAGCACCTTATAAGATAATTAAAAACGTGTTAGCGTAGTCTGTTCAAAAATCTGAAATGCAGCAGGTCAACACGACCTGGTTTTACAGGGTTTAAATAGAATTATAAAAAACTAAACTTTTCAAGTGCGCAGTAACTTTTGACTTCGAGACGTTGCCGGGCAACCTGCGAAGGACTCAGGTAGGCTATTATTTGTTAATGCTAAGCTAACAAACATTATTTGTACGCAGGCTACATAATATGGCATCTTTACTCTCGGTCTTAACGCAAATGACCATTTTTCAAACTGTAACATTACATTTCTTTATATCTTTATAATTTCCAGTTGCGGAGCACTCACTTCTTGTGAAATGCATGTGAGCATGGGCACACTCCCAGTTCATCTCTGGTCCTGAATTCTTCCAGACACACAGCACAGGTTTGCTGCAAGAAGAACAAAACATCTGTAAGGTCATTTCTTTGTGTGGGATTATGTTTCTTTTAAAAACAGAGTTAACAGCCAGGTTAGTCTATGTGTTGTGCGTTCTTTCAGGGAAGAAACTAAAGCAAGGTATGGAGGTTTGTTTTCTATTTCTTAATGTAGGCCTATTTCATTGTTTTGCCTTGCTTTACAACAATGGGGTGATTAGCTATTTCACTTCAGCCAAGGACATCAGCATTTGCAAATTTGAGCAGCAAATGTATTTAATTTGACCTAAATAAGTATAAGCCAATGAAAGTGAAGTGAAATAGCGCCTTTATCATGACTATTTTGTTTAAAAGTAAGACTTATTTCATCCTTTCCTTGTACTTAAGCAGAAATCAAAACTCAATATTACCTTCAAACCTGCTGTTGCCCTGGAAATATTACAGTACTTAAAAAGCTATCTTTTAAGGACACTGACAAGACCCTTTGATGATGCATTTTGAATGAGCACAGTTATTCCTGGAGTCCTACATTCTGCTACAAATAGAGAGTCAGGCAGACACTCACTTTTCTTTGAAAGGCTGCATTTTAGATGGCTGACTAAAAATTCTCAGGACACAGTGCGTGCAGCAAGATAATCACATTTGAGATGAGGACTTGATTGAGTTAACAAATCAAATCCTCCCGACTCCTAATGGGTCATCTGATGCACCACAGATGCAGTGTGGGCAAAATTAAGGAATGTACAGCCTCCAGGATTGGACATAAAGGTTTGTTTTGCAGAATGAGAGACTTACTCCAAGGAGGCTAAGTTTCTTGCTGGCTCCCTTCAGCACCACCTACAGTTGAGAAAGTAAAAGGAGGGAGAGAAGCAATGGGTCATGTGAATGATGTGTCAGCACAACTGTGTTGGCATAAAATCAATAGTGTAAAACAACACTTCAAATGGATTGAATGTCCTGACTTCACGAGCTTAAAAATATCTGCAAAATTGGAGCACATTTTTTGTTGCATGGTTTAAAAATGTTTTTAATGCCGACAATTCAGATAGCTCGGATGGAGTTTAACCTTCCCTGAAGCCATAAACAATGTCATCAACTATTGCCACACTTACGGCTCCACATTGTCACACCCTGCTACCTGCTTGGTTAACAATTTTGAATCAGAGTGAAAGTAATGCTACATATATGGGGTCATGGTCAGCTATAAAGGATGGTGTTGGCTTTCAGAGCGCACGATAACAGTGTGAACTGCTATAGTAGTATTTTTAACCAGCCTCAGAAGCTGGTGCTACATGTTCAACCACTGTGACACATAGAGCAGCAACATACCTCATTGTAGCTGAACTGCTCCCGTTCCTTGTTGTTTCAACCTGAGAGAGGCAGAGAGACAACAACATCTGTACCAAAGAAGTGTACTTGAGCAGTTAGGGCTCAGTTGATTGAAATGCAACCAGCCAAAAGAAGTCACAAAAAGGAGATACATTTCATGTTAGGGAGTCACTGGCAAAACAAATATTGTAAGCCACAGAATTAGAGGAGCACTATGGAGTTTTGGTAGAGAAATGGGAAAGTTGGAGAAATGTACAGGTTTGGTGGTTTATGTTCATAACTGTGTACACAAACTGTCCTCAGAGGAACATTTGGTCCCTGTAACACGGTTTGAAGATAAAATGCTACGTGAGATGCTATGGCGGCGGGCTCGCAAAAGTGAAACCGTAATTTTCCTGGTAGCTTTTTAGCCAAACAGTGTTCCAGTGACCCATTTTTCCCTTTAAATAAAGATTGTGTGTTTAGTTCAGAATATAGCATAGAATTGTTTCTCTTCTCCAACTTTCAAATTTTACTACCAAATCTCCAGAGTGTACCTTTAAGTCATGCATGCTGTTCATCAGAACTCAACTCAGTATACTGTTAACCAGTAGTACACTGCAGTCCGAAAAACAAGTTACTGATATTTTATTTTTAGGACTATTAGTCATTTATATCAGAGGAAAACACAAGTTACACAACAGTTTTGTATTCAAATCAGCACTAACTATATTTTTTAATCCCAGTGGCGCAGCACACAAGCTGCAAACACAAAACTGACATATTATCACCTCCTTGACTGTTGTCTAATTCTGTTTGTTTTTCTGTGCATGAATGTTCTTTGGTGGGACTTGTCTGTTTGGACAGTAACGGTGCTGTGGAAAAGAATTTCCCCTCTGGGACAATAAAGTCTAAAGTCTAAAAAAGTCTAAAGTCTTAAATTTATATGGCAAGTGGTTAACAAATAGTTCCTTATTTGCATGCCCAGCATACACAGAGCAACATTGTTATACACTTGTTGTTGTGTTTGCAAGTTAATGTGATGAATTTTAGTTCAACATCCACAGTCAACAAATAAGTTAATCACTATCTCTGTTGGTCTGCTTTGAGTTTTGGGTGGAAAACTAAAACATAAACTGGCTGAATGTGGAAGTGCAGAGTTTGTGATTTCTTTTGGGGTTCATAAGTATCAAAGGTTTTCACATTGCACCAAGTTTTAGCTCCATTTTCAAAACTATGGTTAGCTATTTAGTTTTAGAAACATTATTGTTATACTTGATGAAAATCTATTTATGTCCGCAATCAACAATTATTATTATAATTCAATTCTCATCAAAAAAAAAAAAAAAAAGTATTCCATCTGGGGCTAACAGAGATAATAAGCCTGTCCAATAATTTTCCTTGGTGATTTTCTACCTTTTCTGTCTACCATGTGTTGTGCACACACTCTGATCTTTCACTTACTGTGCATGGGCACGCTTCCACAAGCTGAAGCTAGCTAGCTTGTTAAAATAAACTGCTGTTCCTAGAGTGTCCACTTAAGGCTGGCTGCCAAAGACCCCAAAATCACATACACAGGGGGCTTAAGGGCCACCTCAGCTACAGCTCTTTGCCTTTTACCAGGTAGACTAAAAGTTAGTGTGTGAACACCATAGATGGGCTTCAAAAGTCACTGAGACTACCTTCATGTTTTATACAGTCTATGGTGGCTTGATAGAGAAAGAGATGACTCCCCCATAGCTCTGTTGTTGACTTGTTCCAGTCAAGTGGTTAGGGAGTGCCTTTCATTTGAATTGGATCTTGGCTTTACTATCCTTTGCCGTCCAAAATGGTCCTTACCATCGCTAGTTTCTTCAAAGTTACACTTTAACACAAGTGTTGTTTGATTTTATTTTTGTGTTAGCAGTGTTTAGTGTTTATACAATTTGTCAGCTCTTCGGAGCGATCCCAGAATTTGCAGCATGATCGCTGCTCTCACCATATTATAATAGTTGTTTTTGAGTATTTTTAAGTAACCCTATTCTTGTTCAAACGGCCAAAACATTCCTAACTAGATTGACCTGGTGTATTCAATTTCTCAATCACCCAGTCCATCTTCCTCTGATACCTCCTCTACCTACCTGAAAAGGTAGCAGCAGAAGATGAGGCTGAGCATGAAGACGAAGAGGCCGATGCCCAGCACAATGACATACACATTGAGCGGGAGGTGATAGATGTCAGACGTCATGCTGCAGTAGTGTTCAGAGCACCGAGAAGCCAAACCACACAGGCACCCTGCAAGGAGGAGTTTGCATGTACAATTAACATACTTAACATGTTCTGAACTGGGTCCGATAAGTTTGCATGAAAAAGTTGAATACATCTTCCTCTAAAATGTCTAGACTGCCATTTTGCTTGATTATCATCTTGTGAGTAACAGTTGGTGTTTGTCACAGCCTCGGGCTTTTTAGCAGGATATACAAAAAACAGAGAGCTACTGAAACAACAATATCCAGTTGTTCGAGTTCATTATTTACTTTCCCATTTTAACCACCCTGTATTGACAATGACAACAGTGCAAGCCTAAATGGTTCAGTTTAGAATCTGCAGTTTGTACAAACAATTGCATTGGTTGCATGAGGTTAGAGAGCATTGAGGTCTGTGTAAATCATTTTGCTTTGTCGATGAATAAGTTAGCCATTAGCAAGCAGTAAAAAACAGTATTTACACGTACAGTGAAGAGGAAGGGAACTCTTGGCAGTGAAGTAGATTGTTGATCATTAACTACAATGCAAATCTTCATGACCAACACAGGGTTTTAGTGTCACAAGGTTTTGAGTCTTGGTCCGCAAACTGATACAAAATTGTGCCTTATGTTTGCTTGACAAAGATTATATTGGGGCGTTGGCTCAACTCCTTATTATAAAACAAAAAAAAACGTTTGTTTGGAAGCAGGTTTGTCCTGGGTGCTGTGGTGGCAACTGAGGCGCTCATAGGACTCCCCGTTAATTGGCTGTGAACAAGACAAACATGGAGGACAGACGGCACTTCCGCCACACCACCATCTGTTCCACAGACTCCATTGAGGTGACTGGGAGAGTGTGTGTGTGTGTGACAGCACTGAGGGATGGAGGGGTGCGGGTGTGTGGTCTGTCTGTGTGTATCTGGTAGACAGATACACTGTGTGTGTGTGTGTGTGTGTGTATGTTGCAGGTGGCAGGGGGTGGGGTCTATCAGACAGAATGACCCCGGGGGACTAAAGCACCATTTGGTAAAACAATAGCCGAGGAAGCCCCACTTCCACACGCCACATGTATTCCTATTAATTTGTGGCGAGGATGCTCGTTGTCAGCCTCTTGATGTCCATGTGTCTCTCTTTAGGGGGAATCAATGAGTACAGCTTGCACACTCTGGGGGGTACGGGTTGGATAATTTAACATGGTTTGGGGGTTGGGGGATTTACAAGCCATGGTAGGGGGGGATGGCTAGAGTAGGAAAGACCTAGGGTAGCATTATGAGAGTTGCAATTATAAACCGAGCATTGAAGAACTTCAGAATTGGTCAACAGTGACAAAACAAGAATGTGGAATTACATTAGACAATAAATTATCTTCAGTTCTCAGACGTCATAGCTGATAAACAAACTTGACCTTGAATGCATCTTTTAGTAACTCCACTCCTCCAGTCTCTCAGTGTGTTAACATTTCACAAGAGCATCCATTATGTAGATTCCAAAAGCTTGCAGACTGCAGCTAGGAGTTTAAGAGCTACAAGTAAGCACACGTGCTACCACCTTTTGTATTTGGGAGTTGGCAGAGAATTCTGTTCACTTACCGTTACACCATTGGAATGGTTGCATGAAATTTGACTCTTGGCTTAGCAGCAGTAAGTTCAGGCCCTGTCAGGAGAAGGCTGGAGAAGAGCCAAACTTGTGGGCCAGAGCTCAGGACACTGGATCTGTTTTGAGACTGGAGATGGACACCCTGACCTGAAGCGATCCCTTGCAGGGTGGTGTTCTTTCCTCAAAAAACAACCATAAAGATTTTGAGATTTGCTCAGATTCCACAAATCCTCAGGAGGTGCGGTTTTGTTGGCTCAGCAGTCTATGACGCCCAGCATTCCAAAATCTGGATTAACCAGTCGGTGTAAAGATTGGGAGATTTGGGACTGGGGCTTGGACCAGGACAGAAGACCTCATGTGCTCCTAGATCCAAGTGAGAATGATGTCATCACAGGAGAGAGAAGGAGAGACAAAGAAATGTTGAGAAGGAGTGAATGTTTTTCACATGCCTCAAACCATGTGTTATGCAGGAGTTGTTATTGTGAAAAGCAGAATCTCACTCAGTCACAATGTCATAGACAACACAGGCTGCTGGATGACAAAAAATACTCACCTTTCCAGCAGAAAAGGGGCCTCTTTGACTTCACTTTGCATCTGCAGTATCGTCCCTTCTCCAAATTCAATGACAGCCACCATTCAACATGACAGTCCTCGTCCACTGAAGGTAATTATCTGGCATTAGTCTGTGCTTTGTCTTCCCCCCAAAGCTGCTTTTTTAACAGAGGATTTTCACAAGTCTTATCCCCCTCTTTTCTCTTCTGTTGTCCCCTCCTCCAGTCCTCAGGTCTTGCAGTGGGTATTCCTCCTCAGTATTGAAAAACAAAGATGTGCTTCCCTCTAAGCCCAAACAAAGTGAGGACAGCTCCATGCAACAACAGTCCTGTAGCTGGCTTTGGTATTTTGCTGTTGAGTGTGTGTTTGTGTGTCAGTTGGTGCATGTGTGTGTGTTTGCATAGGAAGGGGGATCCTACTCTCCCTCTAACCATCTGCTTGTTCAATTGAGAGAAAAAAAAAAATCTGAGACAAAGGCAGTGTGTGTGCAGGAGTGTGTCTGCGTGTGTCGTATTTAGTCTTTCCCACCTCCAGCTGGCTTTGTCATGGCAGGCTTCCCCTCTTCCTCTCTCAGTCCTTAATGGTGCTCAGCGAGCGCTTGCAATTCGCCTTTCCCTTCCTCCCCTTGCTCTCACTCTGCTCTGCCTTGGGTTTGTAAACAGATCTCTGCTCATGTGACCAGCCGTTTTGCCTCGCAACTCTCCTCTCCCTCAGCCCTCCCTCACTACCGCTGTCCTCCAATCTGTAGGCAGAAGGAAGGCAGAATGAGCCAGACACTGACGAATAGGGCGCCTGCAAGCATGCTGATGTGTATGTGTCTGTATGCGCACACCCATGTGCATGTATATGTGAGAGGGAGACAAGAAAGACATTTGCAGCAAAGTCAAGCAAGGCCTTGGTCAGTAACATGCGCATGGCTCATATCCTGACAACCAAAACAAAGCCATTTGTGGGAAGTTGGAGTCAGTGAGAGAAGAGATGACACAACCTCGGTCTCTATTGCCTTCCTTCCAACATACACAGAAAGTATTTTTAGAACTGCAGCAGATTTTTTTTTTTCATGTTTGCTTTGTTTGATCTATATATAAATAACTTGTCACTCTTTTGCAGAGGAGGAAGAGGTTGAGCAGCAAAGAGGGGGAGGTGGTAAATATCAATAACAAAAAAAGAAAAGTCGAGGAAGAGAGATATGGAAAAAAATATCAGGAGAAAAAGAGGGAAATAACATAGAGAAAATCACAGCTTGGACAAAGACGTTGGCTGCATGTCCACCCCCACACCAGTGGCTATGGCTGCCAATTCGCTGAGGGAGAGAACAGCTGCTGGGCTACTGGGCGAGCTGTGAGACGGTCAAGGGGAGAGCTGCTCCACCAATCCCCAGGGGGAGGGAAGGAGGGAGGGAGGGAGAGGCTTCAATGGGACACATGCCATTTTCATTCACCCTGCCCACCTCCCTCCTCCCCTCCAGCTCTAGTAATGACATTAATGCTAAATACTGAAGAACAGCTGGATTGACGGCACAGATGCATGGGGCATTAGTGGGCATTGTATGTTTACGAGTTTCAGTTGTAGCTAAAGGATTGTTTTCATTGGTGGTCTGTCCACGATGGTTGTTCTGGTTAGAGCTTACACTCTTGTGAAATGTGATAAAAACACACTGAATCAACAGTTTCTGAGAAAATAATGCATATGAAGAAGTAAGTTATTAATAGTGAACTGTAGGGGATTGGTTGGAAAGTATTAGTGGCTTTTTCAAACGAAGAAGACAGTTCTGAAGGGTTTCAGTGAAAAGGTGCGTCTGACTGATGAAACTGGGAACTGAGCAAGAAAATGAGGGAGAAGAGAGGGATGCAAATGTTGACATTGTTTACTGAGTGACATGTAAATTGTTTTGAAGGTACAACCTTACTTTCTTCAAATCATAAGTTTGGCTGATTGGAACTTCAGTAGCATTTTAGGGTTGTCTGCTAACGTCAGAGTTTTAAGGCCAGACATGTTTTTGCAAAGCATAATGATCTGAAATGATATCCTGTTTGCATGTTTCAAAAGCAAAGGCATTAACTTGATTCTTATAACACTGATACACTCTTGTTTCTTGGTCTAATAAAAATGAACTTCTTGAATGCAGTCCACCATGTTGTTCATTTAAATGTCATTTATGGTTAAGTTAGGATACCACTGTGACCTAAAATGTGATTTAACATCATGATAGAGGAGTCACAAAGTCAGAAAGCTCACTCTGCAATGTCACTTACACACCAATAACTTGTTGACATTATCTAAAATAGGGCTGTAGCAGCAAAACAAACAGGTGCATTAACTAAAAGCAGGAGTGTTTAGTGTGGCTTTTTGAGTAAAATTAGCATTTCTAAAGCGTAGTCTCTTTTATCCAAAGATACACATTCAAATTTAAAGCTTTAAGCAGCAGGGGCTTAGACTGCATAGAGCTATCCTCTTTATCTAAATGACTCATGAGGAAGCTTTCTGTCTTTTGATTTGGAAAATGATAGGTGGTCAAACAGTCAAGATCAACACAAACACAATCGAGTACAGGGTGACACAGCTGCTCTACTTTGGTAACCCTAGAATATAAACGCTTTAGATTTGTTTTGCCAAGACTTATGTTAATGGTCTTGTTTTTTTTATGCTTTTTTAAAAAATGTTTTTGTTTCTCAGTGAAACAACACATTTTTCCTGTTATTTTCTAATTTCACCTAACTGTATTTAAAGCAGAAACATTATGGCATTTTGAGTTTATAAGGTGTGAGTATTGTATCATGTGTCAAACTGCTGACATTCATTTACATTTAATCACAATTTAACTTAATGACAACATTATATTTGAACTTATTACAAATGTCTTAATGTAAAGTGGGTTTAAATGATTCCTGAGAGTCCTGAGAGTGAAAGAAGAGCGTTTCTTTGTCCATTGAGCTCTTCAGACCTTACTGTAATACACTGCCCATTCCCTTTTCTCCACCTCAGGGGTGTGTCCCTTTACAAATCCATTTGCTGCGCCATTGGCCACTCCATTCAGTTTGCCATTGTTTTCACCATCTATCTCGTCCTTTCTCAGAGCCAGAGCTGGTTTACAGGTGTGCCAGTTCCACAAAACTTTATTCATGTCATCCTGAGCCCTGATACCCAGGAGCTTTTCTTCATCACTCTTCCTCTTATCCTCGTCTTCATCGTCACTGTCATACTTGCTTGAGCGATGACCGTGGAAGCTACGAATCTCCCCACTGATGCCCTCAAAGTACTGCTGGATGCAAACCTTGGCGAAACTCTTTGCATGCTCTTTGCAGGTATCGTCGAACATCTTGCGCTCAATGTCAATGTAATGAGACCAGTACTTTGTCTTCAGGAAGGCGGCTTGAGTGAAACATGGTCGAATAGCTCGTATCAGGAAGGCTGTCAAGGTCATCATGAGCAGAAACATCCATCCACACGCCTGTAAAAGAAAGATATAATTAGATATATTGGTGTATCAAAATAACATCAGCATTTAAAACCCTAAAACCCAGTGATTTCAACAAAATAGACACAGAAGACAAATTTACCAATCTGACCATACTGAAGGCAATGGGAGGCAAACAGTCCAAAATGGATTTGAAAAGCATTTCTTGAAGCTTCCTGACAGTTTCACAGATCTGTGTATCAATAGACTTTTTAGAGACATGTTACTTTAACGCTTGAATAATTACCCTTCGGTTGATCAAAGACCTAAATAACAGAGTGGGTGTATTTGGATGGATTGAAATAGGTCCCAGTTCCATGAATAATACATTTGGAAGGCTTATCTATGGCCTTAATAAGCACACAGGAAAGCTTGAAGAGCTCAAAGTGCAGAGCCAGAGTCTGGTGGGGAGATTTAATTTAACTACAGTTTTTGAGGAATAAATCAGGGATATTAAATGTGCTGAGTCATCAGATCCTGTGATGAAGTTATAAAAACCCACTTTTGAACCTTGCCTAAATTTAGGTCCATGCCTTTGGTGGTTTTAATCTGATTACACTGATAGTTCCCAAAAACTATCAATGGCTCTGTTCTACTAAAGCGTCTCATTAGGCTATGTTATACAATGTGGCATTAAAATGGAACTGGTCCATTATGTCTGCAACTGGTCTTGACAAAAGGCCTAGTTTAGAAATAATTCTTCTAACAACTGAATTATTTTCTATAGTTCTGATGTTAATGTCATGTCAGGTTGAGCTAATAAGATAAGCTCACCCACATTTTTTTAAATGGACAATGCTTGGACAAAATGGACAGAGCTTTGGTGGCAGTGGTTAGTGTGCACACCCCATCCATGGAGGCTTTGCTCCTCCAAGCGGGCAGCCCAGGTTCAAATCCCACCTGTGGCTCCCTTCCCGACTCTCTCCCTGATTTCTGAATCTATCCACTGTCCTGTCTCTCAATTAAAGGCACAAAAAGCCCCAAAATAAAAAAGACTTGGACAAAAATTTTAGCTAGCAGCATTAGCTGTATTCATTCAAATGAATCTTTCACATTTTGCCTCATTTTATCCTGCATTTAGAAAGAGCCTTTCAAAGCTCCTGTGAGAAACTTTTGGTTTGTGTTGTTTCTGGCGCCCCCTGCAGCCAAAGCAGTACCTCTTCTGTCACCCTTTTTTCTTTAATAGTAAAATGTCAAATTGTCATTGAGAATCTTTCTGTTTAAAATGTAAGAAAAAGCTGTTTCTTTAAACTGCAGCATTAGGAATAGTCAACCTGCTTTTCATAAATCAAATAAATGCATCAATATGAATGTATTTCCATCATCCCCACAGTGTCCTCACAGGAGCCACAGGAGCTTTAAAAAGTCTCATTTGAGTTAGCACGTTTGTCTGATGCCTCAGTTTACAACCATTCAAAGAAAATTAAAGGAAACAATCAGCACGCTACCTGGGAGAAACACTTGATGTATCGGGATGCTGCCACTCTTATTTCTTGTTGGTCAAACAGGTCTTTGCATGGAATCCGTGCCAGCAGTCTCACCCTCTCTGCTTCTGACATCCCCCTAAACAGACTGTAATTCCCTGTAATCTTTTCAAGGTCCAGGTTGATGCTGAAAGCACAAAGGAAGCTCTTCCCATCCATCAGGGTGACTGACACCCATACTGCAGGTGCTATCAAGGATCTCTGTGTGATTGAACAGAACATGTAGCGTAGGATTGTTGGGTCCTTCTTTCGTTTCCCTGTGGGTCTTTTCCACTCCTCTGCGAGCACTGACACGTTATTGTTCATTACAAAACCCAACATAAAGAACCAGATAGGTGGAATGGTGAGCAGTCCGATCCCATAAGTGTAGTTGTATTCAGGCATACAGGGGCAGTTGAACTCAAAGGAAGTGTACATCTGTGCACTAGCTAGTGCCATGATACCGCAGATCCCATTCATAAAAGACTCCTGGTTGGACTGGAGGAACTGGAACATCATACGAAACTTATCCATCTTGGGAGAGGTGGTTCAATTTTATTCAGATGGAAAAAAACAAATCTGTAAAAAGAAAGAAAGAGTTGGAAATCTCTCAGAGAAAGGTGCTAGAAAAGGCAACTATGGATGCTGTATTATGTGATATATCAACACAAAATGTATTTAAAGGCCAATATGTTCAACTTATATGAATATAATAAATAAACAAGATAATTGTATTGAAGGAGAAATTTAATAAATTATTTCTAGCCGAGGGCCAAGAGATTTTTTTCTATTTTCTGGTAAGCCTTTGAAAGAGGTGAGTCATCAATAATGAAAGTTAATGACTTTTTTAATTTATTTTTTTACAAGTGGTGTTTACTACAATCTAAACGTGTGAATAATTTGTTTTTAAATGAACCTCAGTCAAGATCCTCGGAACCTTTTCATTTTTTTAAATACTTTTTGCTCAGCCAGGAAGATTTTTCATTATCCGACATCTTCCAAGTTTCTTTTCAGTTGCAGGTTATTAGTGTTCTATAAAGCAATAGAAACTGATTTATTATCTTATAACAATGCCAAAACCCTTAGAAGAGTGACCTCAATCGAAAGCAGTACCAGAATCCCGAATGTCACCCACAAGCTTCCAAAGTGCTATTACTCTTTTTGCATCAGTTTTACATGGAGAGAATAATAATAAAAACAGGCATCAGAAGATTTTGATGTGAACATCTCACATCCAGATTCACACGCTTACCTTTTTTCTTCAGAGTTGATAAGGCCAAAGAAAGAGTAAAGGTCATGCAGCGATGATCTCCATTGGGATAAACTAAAGCAGATATATATCAGCCTGTGGCTCTGACTGAGTGTCAGGTGTTTCTCGAACTCTCGGTGATGATATTCAAAGCTGACCACATCATCCGTCGCCGAGCCCCTCCCTGCACAAGCACCTGTGTTTAGTGTGGCGTGACAACAACAACTCATTGAAAAGACACTTTCTTTACAGAAAACGACTTACACTCAGAATATATCTACAGTCAACCCTGTTACTCTTTACAATATTTAAGTTGATTACTTTTTATTAACATAATCCACCCTCCCAGTTTCATCATCAATGCAGTCTGTTTTCATATTTAGCTGTTACTACTGCACATACGTTTACCATTATATTATTTATTTACTTCATGTTTATTTGTATAGGGACATGAATGTAGCAAGTAAACCATTGCCACAGACTACACAGCATTTATAGCCTGAGCTCCTTTGCACTACCCGTCCCTAGAAGCCTTTAAAATACATAAATACATACTGACATTGTAGCTATAAATGTTATTCACTGTTGTTGTTGCTCTGATTAGTTTTATTAATCAATTTATTTGCCAGGGATAATACATGTTTGTTACTTCTTATTAAAGTGCAACGAATGCAATGTATACAGGACTTCTAGCCAGGGCTAATAACCAGTCCTTGTCCCTGGTTAAGCTTTTCTGAACTAACACATGTGAAACAGCAGCATTGTAAAAACAGACATCAAAACAGTAGACAATTACAGCAGTTACAGCAGATATAAGATAACAAACAGTATAAAACAAACAGTAAAGCACACATAGACAAGTAGATTGATGATATTGACTAAGAATAAGAATTAAGATCAATAATATCAACTATGATCAAACGAAATGAAAAGAGAAGTCAAATATGCTGCGCTATAATATAAAACGTTTGATCTAGTGTTCGCAGGTTGTCCTTTGTTTAAGCCGGAGGTTCTCAGCTCATCTAGACCCAGGACCCACCAACAACACCTCCATGAGAAACCCGACCAGAATTTCTGTAAAATGTGAAACTGATCAGATGAAAAATGATTTATTTTGGATCTCAGATGATGCAAAACATATGCAAGAAACTGAACAAAACAAACACATTTACTACACAGTTTCTGCCTGTTAAAAAAAGTGAAGTTTTTCCTTATTACTGTAGCACAATTGTTGCTTAGTGCTCATGATGGATTTATGTTGGGCATTGGCAGACAATATAACCATGAGTAAGGTCTTTTACCTGCTCTTTGGTAAAATGTCTTGAGATAACATTTGTTGTGATTTGATGCTTTACAAGTAAAAATATTATTAATTGATTACTTGCTATGTAATAGTATGTTGTTAATCAACTCACCTGAACATGTGCATTCAGTGTTGTTTAGTTGTGGTTGTTGCAATCCAGACATGCAAAGGTGGCCTGGAACCATTCAAATATCTGCAGGTTGGCCAGGAACATTTGGTTGCTGTATAGGAGGTGGAAGGTGAATCTCTCTCTCTTTCGATTTGTTTATTCAGAACCAAATAAAACAAAGTGAAAAAGCTTATCACATGCAAAATAAAAAGATTGTAAAATCTCCAAGGGATTTGTTTTTACTGATATTTTACATAATACTTTGAACTCACCTGCACCCATTGATTGAGGCAGAACCCGACAAACCAGTTAGAAGCTCACAGAAAGATAAAAGGAAGGGGCTTACTTTTTCTCCTATTCAAGCACACAAACCATTTCATGCACATTTTTTTATAAACAATAGTAACCTAATGCATCATCCTTCATACTCATCAAATAATCTATTGTCCTTCAAACTTTTTATGATTTACTCAGTGATTCAACGTGTATAGCTGATTTTATGCAGTTGTGAGTATGTAGCTATAAGCTTACAGGAAGTCTGGTGCTATCTGCTTTCTTCTGTGTATTGCACAGGAAGATGATTACAGCAGAGCACATGGGCAGGGTGTGCAGGAAATAAGTCACGACAGACAACCTACAACTGTTTCTAAAATAGGAAGAGATCACTGAGACTGTGGCTGTGCAAGGTTTGTCTGTTTCTTCCTCCTTTGCAGCAATTCAAGCATCACCGTCATGCTGCGTTTTTGAGAAAATTCATCGCTTGTTTTGGTGCGTATACTGTTTGCTCTTTAATATATTATGCCTTAATGTGGAGGTGTTTGATCTACAATATTATCAAAGGACTAAAGAAAAGAGATGCTTGACAGCAATCGAGGCGTAGCTTCTCTCCTACTTCCTGTGCATCTTTTCCTCATAAAATACTCTATGTATGATTGCAGGGTTTTTTCTCGTCTAGTGTTTTTTTTTTTTTTTTACGTTTCAAAGAACACTAATATACTGTCACAAACCATTTTTAACATTTGCCAATGCTTCTGATGTGTTCACAGGCAGTCGTGAAGATGCAAGATACTCTGTTGCGTGTGTTTGTGGTGGCTGTTGGACTACTAACGTGTCCGAGAGATGACCCTGGGGTCCAAGAATGGGATGATATAACCTCAGTGGGCATGCAGAATAATGAAGAGAGGCGGCAGATGAGCGGTGAGAAAGTGCACCACGAAATGGAATCTGTCAATGAGGAAATGACACATACTGACAGTAAAGGGCCTCTGGATGATAGACAAAACATTGCCGAGGAAGAATATCAGGCTGAAAAACCTCACATGTTGGAGGATGTGACCGCTCTCAAGACTTCACAACTTGACCATAAGCAAGAGGGAAATTCAGAGATGGGCATGGAGAGTAAGACGGGAGAAGACGTCCAGGCTGATGACTTTTTTAGAGACCTAAACAGACCACAGGGGACACGAGTAAAGCCTGAGGAAGTGGTGCTCAGCTCGAAAGAACAGTCACACCTTCACACCAAGACTTCTGAAAATGAAGCTTCAGATGCGGCCTGGGAGAGAGATTTCATCTGGTACATATGGAACACATGCTCCATAATTTCCATCATTCGCTTCTTCAGGAAATACCTGGGGAGAAACTCTCAAATGCATCAAGAAGAAACCTTTTTGTTTCCAGGCATTGCTGCTCAAGTGCCACTTTTAGACACGGACACTCTACAAAGATTTCATTCGAAATATGTGAGAGTGCCCTCTAGTAAGATGTGGAAAGAGGAGTTCTTGGAGGGTTTTGCAAATGATCTCTTGGACGCCATGAGGACTGTGAGTGACAAAAATGGTGGTATGGTGATTGAAGACTTCCAGATGGTGGATGTGTGTAACATCATCGTCCCTTTCACTCCACCTGATCCATGCAGTTTTCAGTTTCTGTTCGGGAACAACCAGGCAAGTGACCTGCAGCTAGATATGCAAGTATGCGGTCAAATAAAGCTGTTGGAAAAAAGGGCGGCCACAGATGGCTGCCCCTGTCAGTCCCCCGATGCAGAGGATGATGACATGGTCTGCCTGCTGCATTGTGGGGCAGAGAAAGTTAAGGTGAAAGTTTGTGATGTTTTTGATGACCCGCTTTGTGTGAAAGACTCCCCGTTCCTGTCAAAGTCAAAGGTAATCAGATGGTTTCAGAGCACCGTTAAACAGGCATGGGCACAGATCTCACACAAGTATGAATTTGAACTTAATATACGTTACATTGATGCGCCGGGTGCTCTGGTAGTTCGATTCAGATCAGGGAAGAAGATTAGCTTCAGTATGAATCCAGTGGTTAAATTCAACAATGATGCTTATTTCTTCATCACTCCTTGCTCCCCGACAAACTTGGATACTTTCTGGACTCTCTCCCTGACCAACTATGAGGATTCTTTCTTCAAAAACATTTCCAAAACTCTGCCTGAGAACTCATGCCACAGTCAAATTCTTGAAATTGTAAGTTTCCTTCACAGGAGACAAACAGCTCTTTCAGAAGTAGTGCCCTCAAGGAATTTCATTTCAGAGCTACACTGATGCATCTGCTTTTGACCACAGAGGCGTCACAGTGGAAACCCGAGCAGGTGGCTTATAGGCTGCAAGACTTACTGGTCTTCATGGAGAGAAGCCTTCAGAAAAAGCTGCTGCACCATGCTCTTATTGGGAACCCTTTAGCGGGGACGGTTATCCAACTTCCTGCTTACTTTACTCAAGCAGAGTCAGTGAATCTCTTCCATCCCCTTGTGGTTCACAACTGTATCTACAGATGTGCACTGATGCATTTCCAGGAAATGCTTAAAAATGCTCATGTGATAATACATGATTATATTGAACAGTGTGTTGACAATGCTGAATGTTCTGTTTGAACCCAAGTGTACAACTGCTGTCACCTTTCTCTGTTTGAATGTTTTGCATTTTTAATAATGAAATACAAACTTCAGGTACATGATATAAGCAGATATTTGTATTTAAAAATTGTATCACTTCACAGAACAATCTTTTAGTAATCATGCTCCCAGTAGTTTAGGAACTCTTTATGCTCCACCATGTCGGGGTCCTCCAGATTTAAGGTGTCATCATCCATTTTCATCTGGGGTTCAAAGTCCAGCTCTCCATCCTTACGTCGACATTCCAAGAGTGAGTGGAGATGTTCCTAGAAGCTGTAGTAAACAAAAGTAGAAATTGGTTTTAAGGCATTTTACAATGATTGCTTTATTCACGGGATAAGCACACATGCATTTACTTTAACCTGCTAGGCTGTTGAATCTTGTACAGTTACAGAATTTCATTTAAACACACTTTTAAGACTCGTTTCCATGATCTGTAAACTTACCCTTGGATGATGCCGAGGAGCAGGAGGAATCACAGCAGGTGCACATGGAGTTATCACCGTACACCTCCTTCCACCTAAAACAAAACACAAGTTTAGTCAGGGATGAACGGTTGCAAAGTTGAGTGGCAAGCTTCAGAGAGTCAACTCACTTTTTGGTATTTGCATCATAATTGCAGGCCTTATAACTTGAAGTTGGTGCAAGCATACCCACATACAGCTCACAGTGCATGTAGAGTTGCTGAAAGACATGATGTCAATGTTAGCTTGCATTTATTTGATATAAAAGGATCTGTTGTGCTTGCTTTTTACATACCTGTGTTGATGAGGAAGATGAAACGGAATCCTTGAAAATCAAGGAACATCGACTGCACAGTCAGCTTGCTATCAATCATACAGCTGCAGAGAGAGAAAATGTACATTTACCTTCAACAACCAAGAGACAGAGCAAACTTAAAATGAAACGTAAATCTTACCCATAGTTGTCGATGACTGTATATTTAGGACTTGAGTTGGGGTCTTGGGCATGAAGCACTTGTTCACATACATCCTCTGAGCTCCATACCTTGGAGTGGCTGAAAGTCGCTTGGCCTCAAAGTACATCGGCTGGCCCAGTGTGTAGGTTTTATAACCAGTGATTTAATTCCCTGAACCTGTGGGAAAGAAAGTCATTACTGAAGGAGTCGACATGTACAAATAAAGTGCTGCTGCTTTGAATTCATGAGGATAGTGAAGTGTGAAAACAATTCTTGAAAAAAAGTATCAACATGCAGTGACGGATTCCTAAATAAACTTGGACATGTTAACGTGAATGCTTGCATTTTCTGTGTTTAGATACATATGTGATGACAGAACTTCTGGATGTGGTGAATCGTTTGATTATTGAACAGATGCTGAAGGCAACTTTCCCAAGTCATTTACAGGTGTGAATGTTGCTAAAATAAAGTTTTGGACCTAAATCTGTTCTTTCCCCTTAAAACCAATTCAGTAATTTAATTCCAAAAAACAGAACAATTTAAGAATTGAATGTAACCCATTCACCACATCTAATAAGCAGGTTCGAAACAGCACTTTTAGCAGCAAGTTGCTGAATGTTTTAGTTAGGATTCATCTCAAAACATTTTGAGGAGTAAGGGTGTAACTGCTCTTTGGTTGGAGTGCTTTGAATACCGTGCCTCACTGGAGTTTTGGGTGGAAGCTAACTTGGTAGGAGCGGAAAAACCTGCAATGATCAAGAGGAAACTCACAATGACAATAATTTGAAAGTGAAGAATTTCAAGGCCAGCTTCAAGGACAGCCAATGAGAGGTGACCAACAATAATCACTCTGAACAGGCTCCACTGCTCCACCTTTACCGAACTGTTGATTCATCAATTTACCGGTTGATTGATACATTATTGCCTTAGATTCTTTATTATCATTGTATACAAGGACACAACGAAACTTCGTTAGCAGCGATCCTACACAGCAGCGTTTACAAAAAACAAAATATATGTGTGGTTATATGAAAGAGAGTGCACAAAACAAATACTGTGTAGCAGTTTTAAATATTATAATGACGAAGCTTTGATTAAAAAAAGTACCTCTCAGGCTACATGTCCTATTACTGATGAGCGCTAAGAGTGTACATTTAAGAATGTAAAGATCAGTTCCTTAAAAACCAAATTGAAATATTTAGCAATCTTGGGCTCAAGCATCCTATTTCTTAAAATATTGTAAGTTAAATTGCTTTTTGTGGACTTGTACATTTATTCTATTTCTTAATTTATTTTTTTTAGATAAAGTGACAGCACAATAGCCTAACTGAACACCCCAAATGACAGGTACAAACATACAAACCACAAAGAAAAGAAAAATATACATTTATATACAACTATATACATAAATATATAAACAAAAACATAATTAAAAGAATGAAAGTAACATATTTAGGCTTTCACAGACGTCCAGTGTTTTCTCTCCTTCCTGTCTTTCAGTTCATGTAAAGATTTTTAATAATATTTCCCATACAAGATTAATAAATTCAATAAAAATAATAAGATATATAATATTTCTTAAACTCTAAACAGGATCTTACGCAGCTGGTGACGTCATCACCAGGAAGTTCCAAATCCGTCCACTGAGCTAACCAGACGCTGTACTCGGAAGCTAATATTTCATGTTGGCTTTTTAAAAATTAATTAACAAAGTGCAACGATCGTTTTGTTAAGCAGGGTGTCATTTAATATAGAAAACAACAGCGTCGTTTGTTTTTGTATCCCCGGGTTTTGCTACAAAGCAGTATTAGAGTTTGTTTTCAGGAGCTAGCTAACAGGCTAACAGCACTTTGTTTTGATTGTAAACGTGAACAGTAACGTTGAAGGTGTGTGGACTCAAAGTACATACGAGGAAAGGTTTATATGCACCCTTGTAAGGACATAGTTTTATGTGATCGACGACAGACTAGTGGAGGGTTAATGTAAATGTATGTAATGTACCAGCTAGCTTGTTGTTTCAGGTAAACGTCAAACGGTGGTCGTCTAACTTGAGCTCACGTTTTCTCTGTGTGGGGTCATAGGACCGGCTCGGGTTAGTCATCGTGGACGTCTGGTGAGCTTAATAAAGCTCTCGGTGATCCGGATCCAATGCGTGGGATGATGGGGACCCAGAGCAGTCCTGTCAAGAGTTACGATTACCTCCTGAAGTTTCTCTTGGTGGGAGACAGCGACGTAGGTAAAGGAGAGATCTTAGAGAGTTTACAAGACGGATCAGTGGAGTCTCCCTATGCATACAGCAGCGGTGAGTACATCTGTGTGCTTTAGTTCAGAGTGTACGAAACACGGATGAACTAGTATCAACACATACTGTGTGTGTCACTTCTAATCTACAGGCATTGATTACAAAACAACCACGATTCTGCTGGACGGAAGAAGAGTGAAACTTGAGTTGTGGTGAGTGTTTCATTTAAATAAAACAACCAATCTGAAGTCAAGTCTCAACATGTTGGCCTGCTCACATACTCGTGTTTGTTAACCCAATAGGGACACATCGGGGCAGGGGAGATTCTGCACAATCTTCAGGTCGTACTCTCGTGGAGCCCAGGTAAGAAGGACTTATTCATTTACCCTGAGAAACTTAATCGCCTAATGTTGTTATTACAACACTTTGCACTCTTTCACAGGGCATCCTGCTGGTCTATGACATCACTAACGGATGGTCGTTTGATGGCATCGATCGCTGGATCCGGGAAATTGACGAGGTAATCAAATGAAACCCATTATTGAAGAACTACAGAAGTCAGAAACAGTTCTGGGACTTATTGTTCATCAGCGCCTGAATAAAAACATTGTCTAACAATGCCACATGTTGGAAGAATATCTTTTAGAAATCATGTTTTAGTGGATTCAATAGAATTTGGTAGCATTGCTTAAAAAGCCTCATGAATGTTTCTTCCCTACAGCACGCCCCAGGTGTACCCAGGATCTTAGTGGGCAACAGGCTTCACCTGGCTTTCAAGCGGCAGGTGCCAACGGAGCAGGCGAGGGCTTATGCAGAGAAGAACAGCATGACTTTCTTCGAGGTCAGTCCGCTGTGCAACTTTAACGTCATCGAGTCCTTCACAGAACTTTCACGCATTGTGCTGATGAGGCACGGGATGGAGAAATTCTGGAAGCCCAACAGAGGTGAGCGTGTTAATATTTATTTATTCGTACCACTTTGGTCAGATAATTGATCTTTTTTTTTTAGTTTTATAGACTTTATTCATCCCTGAAGGAAACTCTGGGTTCACACTCTGTTATTGAGAGACATGCTTCTCACACTCAGGAAGTGCCCTGGCTCCTCTCCGGCTGCCAAGCACTGTTCCGCTATCACACCTGACAAAAACATGGCAGAAATTCTATTTTATTTTTTTAAAAACTGTGAATTCCCAGAAACAGTCTCACTGTTACTATGGATACTCCACAGCCCGCTCTGTCTCATTGATTCTATTCCCAGTGAAAGCCATTTAGATCACTGCAGATTGTTTCTGAGAAATAAGTCAACCGTGTTAAGCAACTATCGAGGTCCTCCACTATGCTGAAGTTAAACCTCAATATGATTTTTACTTTATATTCAAAGAATTCCTGCCTGACAAAGTTGCAACCTCTATAGCCGTTAGCTTTTACTTTTATATGTTTTACTCAGATACACGTGATGTCCTGACTCTGGCTGTCCATCAGTCCAACACTGATGAGTTGTTGGGGTCAGAAGGGGCCATGTGGTAGGACAGGTAGCATCAGCCATTTCACTACCTGGTTAGCTCACAGAGCCTGTGTCTGTTGAAGGGCGCATCTCTGATTTGTTTCCAGAGGTAACTAAGAGCCATAAGGTGGGTTATGTAACTTGTCAGTAGGGCTTAGGGGCAAAATTGTGATGAGAGTGATCACTGATCACTTATCCTTTCATAAGGTTAGTATGTTGTGTTTATTTCAAATAGCATGACAAAGAGCACCAGATTATAACAGCACACACGTACAGGACACAGTCGTTGAAAAATGGTGGAACTTGCATCTGGAATCTTTGAAAACAGTATTTCTGGCTTTAAGATAAAAAGTAACAATATATAACTTTCCACCTTAGAATAGTGGTTTCAAAGGTGAATTTAATAGCACCATATCATCCCATCATTGAGAACAGCGTCTCTCCCATGTCCACAGCACAACCCCGTTCTCCTGTCTACTGCAGTATGTGACTTTGACAGCGGGCCGAGGTCGCCTTGTGAGAAGTGCGTGCAGCTTAACGGCACTAATTCATACACAATGAGTACTGTTTGATACAGTGGCTGAGGGTAAGAGAGCAGATGAAGCTAAAAAGAGAGAGTGACTGAGCAGAGTGTATCTCTGCAGATATTAGACAAAACAGATTGCGACGTTTGGTTAGACGTTTGGTGTCAGAGTTGTCTCATGTGTAGCAGCTGTGTTGGATGCAGAAAGTCTTTTAACCCAAGTTATGGCTCAGGTTTGAATACAAATAAATAGATACATCCATCTTACGCCAAAAAGTTATCTCTTTTCTCGTGCATCTTCAAGTTAGCGTTATATTTTTGGAACTTACAAACCTCTCTCAACTAGCATAATAAATTACCCTCATCAATGAAGCAAATTTAGCCACTGACCAAAACTATCACAGCAACAGTTGAATACACATACACTCTACATGCAAACAGTTTGCAAACAACTGGCTGAAGATGCTTGCAGAGTCATAGTTTGCACATAATCTGGTAATATTGCCGTACCTTGTCAGTTGGCATGTTTTTTCAGCTTTTCACAACACCTTCACCAGCTTCGCACCCTCTGCTTGTAAAGAAATACACGTTGTCTAAGAGGGGGAGGTGTAACAGTACTATGTGTGCCCACTTGGTAGGTGCCAAAGCGCACTAGACCAAATTCCTACATATTGTTGCTTAAATTGTTTGAGAGCTTTCAAATGGGATGCAAAAGAGTCAGACCAAAGTGCAGCAGATTAATGAGAGAAACCCTTAATATTGATAAAAGCATGAAAAAACTAAATCAGAGCGCTGCAAAGTGACAGAATGTAAAAACATTATGTGGCAAAGGGCATTGGCCTGCTCAGAGAAGTTTCTGGATGAACTGAAAACAGGTATTTTAAAAACTGTAGCAATTAAACTCCAGGTAGGAGTATCCATTCTCACATCACATTCTCTGTTCTTGGTTTACAGTCTTCAGCCTCCAAGATCTGTGCTGCCGTTCAATCGTGTCCTGCACTCCCGTGCACCTTATCGACAAACTGCCCCTCCCTGTGGCCATCAAGTCCCACCTGAAGTCTTTCTCCATGGCCAACGGCATGAACGCAGTCATGATGCATGGACGCTCCTACTCGGTGGCCAACAGCGCAGCCTCAGGCGGTGGCAGTGGCAGCAAAGCAAACAGTCTCAAACGATCAAAGTCATTCAGGCCTCCACAGAGTCCTCCAAAGAACTCATCATCGTCCTCTAAAGGGAACTGTAAGATTTCATAGTGAAGGAGCAGACTCATGGTTTCCTTCACGAGGCCAGGATTTAAGGTGTCATTGCTCCAAGGGGTCGTCGGGCAACCGAGGAGCGTGGAGAGCCAACAGGAATCTTCTCCAGGGATGGAAATAGCAGTGAAATGACTGACCTCTGGAACTGTCTTGGGTGGTTGGATCGGCTTCTGTTCTCTTTGCACTTACTGGTGCCATCTTGTGGATGTCTGTTTACCTGTACTCCTTTCTACAGAGACTCACTGTGATCAAGTTCTACAAGGTTTCGCTGGGACCAACAGATGTGAATCAAGGATTATAACTCTCCTGAAAACACTACAAACGAGTGGAGGGACATTAGCCTGCTTTATTGGGAAATGGACGACTAACGTATTTAAAAATGGATTTGAAGTTGTAAATAAGCTGCGTGTGCTCCATGTTCTGGTCTGTGTTTGGTAATTGATCTTTGAGAGGAGCTTTTTTTATGCTTGTTATGTCTTGAATGTTTGGGATACGTGCTTTTCTCTGCAACTTATTTGTCTTCTGTGTAAATTTCCCTTTGCAACCTCAAGGGTGCTGAGCTGCTTATTTAAAACTCCGATTAGCTTTAAATAAGGCTGGCTTCAATTGAATGTCATACGAAGAGCAGGGCTAGATTCCCAAACAGATCTGTACTAGACTTGAGAAATGTTTGTGACAATAATCAATGTCTAGCATGAGGATACTGTCCAGCAAAGTCGAGCCAAGTTTGGTTGTTTTTTTTAGACTTCCTACGGTGTCCTTAAATCCCAGCACCAAATAAATGGACCCTCGGTCACCATCAATCTTTGGTTTGAACGCTCTGTTTACTTTCTCAGGCCATTTCTGCCTCTTAATCTAATATCCTCAGTTGTATCATCACTCTAACCGTCAACAGCATCTGTTTAATTCTTCCCACTCTCTGTGCAGTTCAGAGATTGTTTGGTGCTGATAAAGAAACCTTTTACAAAGTGATGTACAGATTGTTTGCTCAGTCACGGCGGTTTGCTTTCAGAAAGTGCTGCAGCTGTGTCTTGGTTCATTTGTAAACCGTGTGTGGTGAGGATGGTATTTTAATTGGACTGTTTTTTGGATCTGTATTTTCTATGTATTTATGAATGTAAAACAATAATCATCTTCTACTCTTCTGCGGCCATGTGGTAAAAAAAAAAAAAATGGAATTCAAAGAATCTGAGGTGGAAATGATTGGTTATATTTGCTGCTTTGATATTTTTTATTGAACGTTGCATCTCGTTGGGAGAACGTGTAGTTTTTAACGCTCAAGCTAACTTGTATTCTCTAAGGGGTGAGATGGCAGGAGGAAATGTATTGTGGGTATTTGTTGGTTAACAATGCTGAACCATGTTATGCCAGATCCACTTGGACACTTCAGAATTTACACAGCAAGTCTTGTTTTAAAAATAAAATGTGTTTCTTTAAATCTCCTGTGAGGAACTTTTGGCATCTTTCAATATTGCTGCCCCCCTGCGGTGCACAGTGGTACCTCTCATCTCCAGTTTTACGTGAAGTTCCAAGAAGTATCTTATCAAGTGTATCACTCAGTGAGACTCTTTTCAGTGGAAAATGTGAACAAAGGCTGTTTCTGCAGGGAGCAGTTTATCACTTTGTCTTTCCCCCGCAGTGATTTCAGGCATTAATAATAACTGTGTAGGAATTGTCCGTCACTCTTCTGATGCTCTTATTTGCTTTTGGAGCTCATTAAGAAACCTCAATATACATTTCAGTCTGTTTCATAACAAGCTCCATTGATTCCCTATCAATCGTTGCTTTGCTTTCCACCTCAGGTTGACATGAGCTCCATGTCCACTCTAACATTCCCAGTGTCATGGCTGTAGGGCCGTGATAAGCTCATCAATGGCATACAGATGTGGTGCATGTTTTCTTCTGGGGTCTGATTTCTGTAGAGTATTGAGAGATCTGTATAGAAGTCTAACAATACTGTTAAGCACTAAGTGTAAACTTTGAATAATGATTGTTGCTGTCAGAGCGGTGTGCCCACAGGTTTGTACGGGATCAATAATAACTTTTGTCTGCATTGCAAACAGTCAGCCATCACAATAAAGGGTGAAACTTCAAGTGTTCTCGTGTGTGTGCTAAGCTGCAATGTCATTTTCCTTCGAACATTGATCAAGGTCGTTGTGGGAATATTTTGTACCCTTTGTCCAGTCCGGGGCCACCGGTGCTCAAGTGCAATAAAACCGGTTGGGGGGGTTCTGAATTGATTAGCTGCTCTCTCGGTATTGGCCAGTTTTGGATAACCGGCACATTGCTGCAGCGCCTGAATGCGGCGCGGTCAAAAGTCACCCAAAGGTTGCAGGGTCACCTCCCATGAAAAGATGAGGGCTGCTGCTTCTCATCGCCTCGGAGCCGCGCGAGGACAAAGATGAGTCGCACACTATTGAAAATGTGGCGCTTTACGCATTCCCACCTGACCGTGGCATCTCTGAGCTCCGTGTGAATGAGGGACGGTGGTAAATTGAGGGACGTCTAGACAAGACGGACGTAAACAACATGTTTCTCTAGACGTGATTTGGCACGCCCAGTGTTTGTGTTTCACGCTTTGCGCTGCACTCAACTTTTCACAATTTGCTCTTCGATTGGTGCAGAAAACACAAATCTGCACAAGTGTCGGGTTGCGTAAAACACCTGGACATACACAACTCGAGATGATTATTACATTTAACCCACAGCCCCAACATCTCTGTAAGAAAATAGCTCATTAACATATTTATGAATGACACCTCTATAAAATCTGTCTGGACACACCCAACCTTGGATTTCTCACCGGAATGTGTAGCTGTGTGCGCAGTCTTGTTGGGACAGCTTGCCACCACCATGCCACGTTTTCTTTGATGTTTTTACAATGTTTGTCCAGTTGCTTGGCGCATGGTGCTGCTTCATAAGAGTTTCAGACACTGGACGAGCTTGGGGGCGGTCATGAGGGGCTGCCCTTTCCACCTCCATTCACACTCTGAAAGGCTGATGTTGCGTCTTTCTCTCTCATTGTGCACTTTCGTATTTCGATGTTCGGGGAAATCGACCTGAATGAGAGTTTGCCTATTGTCGCAGGAGTTTTGTTTTGATTATCAAGCATATATTTCAGCCAACCCGAACGCATTTTTTTTGTTTGTTGCATTTTTGGAATATATTTTCTTTAAAGGACGCATGACGCGTCTTCTACTTTTGGATTGAACTCCCAGATCTGCGCACAAACTAATATCCACCATGTTTACGCACAAAACGGAGGACTTTGTGTGCATAAATCGACTTTTTTGATTTCGGATTTGAAGATCTAAAGGAGGAATGGAATTACTTGGTGGGCGACTCATGCAAAAGAGCAATTATGTATAGTTACCCTCTAAAACTTTCGGAGGATGGATGGGAAAACGACAAATTTGTGCACAATGAATCCAAAACTAATACACTTGTATTGGGATGGATACGTACGTATTTCTTGATACTCTGCGTCTGCAAGTTACCAGAACTTTCTTTAGGTGCTAGTGTGGCAGGATCCAATGTTGACCACGAAGGATTTTGTCCGAACAAGCTGAATTCCAATCTTTGGGTAGATGCGCAGAGCACCTGCGAGAGGGAATGCAACGTCGACGAGGTGATATTATTTGTGTTATCCCCTTCATTGTTATTATTAAGGTTGTGTCGTGTGGTTCTTTGAAATTCGTTTTTTATTTTTTTTATTTTTATAAATGTTGTTTCATGTTTGCACTATGTCTGCGCAGGACTGTGCTGGCTTTGAGAAATGCTGCACCAACGTGTGTGGCCTCAACAGCTGTGTGGCTGCACGTTTCTCTGATGGCACCGCTGCCCAGCCAGACGGGCAGGGTGGAGGAACAGGAAGTGATGCCCTCAACTCCACAGCTACCTGTGAGGGCTTTATCTGCAGCCAGCAGGGAGCGATATGTGACATCTGGGATGGACAGCCTATCTGCAAGTGCCAGGACCGCTGTGAGAAAGAGCCCAACTTCACCTGTGCCTCAGATGGCCTCACCTACTTCAACCGCTGCTACATGGACGCAGAGGCCTGCATCCAAGGGGTGACTTTGACTGTGGTCACCTGCCGCTTCTACCTTGCAGGGCCTAACACTAGTCCACTGCCTCAGGACACCACAGCCAACCCCACGCCTACATCCTCCCAGGAGGACCCTTTGCCCCCCTCACTGTACTCCAACCCTCACCACTCGTCCATCTACGTGGGAGGCACCGTCAGCTTCCACTGTGATGTCATTGGAGTCCCCAGGCCTGATGTGACCTGGGAGAAGCAGAGTGAGCGGCGTGAACGTCTAGTCATGAGGCCTGACCAGATGTATGGCAATGTGGTTATCACCAACATTGGTCAGCTTGTGATTTACAACGCCCAGGTGTGGGATACAGGTATCTACACCTGCATCGCACGTAACTCTGTGGGAGTTCTTCGCGCAGACTACCCACTGTCTGTCATCCGGCGAGCTGATGATGATTTCTCTGAAGACCCTGAGATGCCCATGGGGCGCCCTTTCTCCCCCGCAGACTGTCTGGCTGAAGTAGACGTCAGAGTGTGCAGTGGTGAGCGGCATGTTGACTGGTATTATGACAGTAAACTTGGTTCCTGCATGGCGTTCAGCAATGGCGGATGTGAAGATAGCCGCAACAAATTTGAGACTTTTGAGGAGTGCAAGGCATCCTGTCAGAGAGAAGGGATGGGGATCTGCTTGCTGCCTGCAGTCCAGGGCCCCTGCAAGGCCTGGGAGCCACGTTGGGCCTGGAATTCCGTCATGAAACAGTGCCAAGCCTTTGCATATGGTGGTTGCCATGGGAATGCCAACAGCTTCGCCACAAAGCGGGAATGTGAGGCTAACTGCCCTCAAGCGAAAAAGAAACCTTGTAAGACCTGCAGAGCGAAAGGGAAAATGGTTCCAAGCTTATGCCGGAGTGATTTTGCCATTGTGGGGCGTCTGACAGAGCTGGTGGAAGATCTGGACTCTGGGTTAGCTCGCTTCAGCTTGGAGGAGGTCCTGAGAGATGAAAAGATGGACCTGACTTTCTTCAACACCAAACACCTTGAGGTGACTATCGCCAAGATAGACTGGAGCTGCCCCTGCCCCAACATCACCATGGAGGAGAACCCTCTGCTGGTGATGGGTGTAGTTCAGGACGGCATGGCCATCATCCAATCAGACAGCTATGTGAGAGCCATATCTGAACGCAGACTCAAGAAGCTGCGGGAAGTTCTTGGTAAAAAGACCTGTGAGGCAAAGTAGGTCCCAGAACTGAGACTCATTAGCCCACAGAGGCTCTGTAGTTGTGTTTACTTTTAGCACTAAAGAAAAGCATCCGAACTGCTTTAGGGAAAACTGATATTTATTTACTTTTATAAAAATATGTTCAATATGTTTACTAAAGCCAGGTGAGGTCATTAGTATGTACAATTTATATTCATTACAACACCGACTGTTGGACATTCCAGATGTTGTGAGTCCTGCTGAAATGCTCCTTTTTTAATTTGTTTAAATATATAAGGTTTCTGTTAAATATTACTTCTTAATCTGTATTTTTGTATTTTGAAAAGAATAGCAACCACATAAGTTAACCAACTTGCCTAGTTTGTGATGCTAACAATACTGGACATCTACAGTGTATAACCTGTTATATTTTTCTGTTTTCTAGTGCTGTGCTATTATTAGTATTTGTTTTTTACATAGTTTCCCTTTTGTTATAATGTATTACTGCAATGTCGTATACACAGCACATTTACTTGAATATAACTCCCTCTGCAAAGCACTTCTGCTACCTGAGTTTTACTAACAGCCTCTGTAAACTGAAAGAAGCAATAAAAGGAGAACACGGCTGTTTCATAGTAAAAATAGAACACAGACAACATGTAGATTTGAGCCTCATTGATTTTACTCAAGTGTGCGATACAGAAGTATGTTGTATAGGAGATTACATGATTTCAGTCCTGGCTGAATGAAGCTTAATCATACGTGTTGGTGATTCCTTAACAGTTTCTTGAAATTTTTGGCACTGTGTCTGAGCTTCAAGTCTAAGTTAAGGCGATTTGGACCGTCCTTCTCCCATACTGGTCTGTTTCCAGAAAAATATCCTTCACACCAAACTCTCCTTCCTGAACAGAAGACACTTGTTGTTTGCAGGCATGTCCATCTAACAAAGAAAACATGGAGATTTCACACATCAGTGAACCCATAGTCACATGAAAGCAGTGATTATATTCTCATCTTTTTACATTTCAGAGAAAACATTTATAAGGGGTGAGTAAAGGACCTGACAACTTACTATTTTCTCCAGGAATAAACCACTTCTTTGTGCTATAGAACTAAGGAAGGCGATATCCCTGAGTCCCCACTCTGGGTTCCTGTTAGATTCAAAGAAGTCTTCATTAATCCCACAGTCACCTTTGCATCATTTATTGAATGAAGGATGAAAAAAAACGTGCACATATGTTTGACAAGGATAGACTTCAACCTATCAGTTATTTTAATAATACAACTAACTTGTCTGAAGCATTAAAAAGATTCATCAAACACTTTACCTCTGCCGCAGGCTGTAGTCAAAGTCCACATTACTCTGAGGGGTGATTTGACCATTTACTGCGTATGGCTGAGGGTAAGAAAAGATGTTATTGTGTCAATCAAAATGTTGGATGTCAATGTTTTTAACTGTTTGAAAACAGAGGCATGAGTGTAGAAGATGTACCATATGTTTATAACAGCATGAAAATAGCTTCTTTTTTTTTTACTCACCCCATATGTCATGAGAAGACCCTGTGGCTTCAGCACTGCCCCAGCCCCTTTGAATAAACCCTAGATGAGAATAGAGATGCAAAAAGGTAATGGATTACATCACATGTGGTGGGAGCTGAGTGGGAGGAATGACACCTACTCCAGCCCTCCAGAAATAACACAATCGCTCTCTTACAAATGAAGAGCTGCATGCATAAGAAATCAAACCCCATTGCCCAGTACAATACACTCCAAGATTTGGCGACGATAGCCTTATTTGGTCCGGTAGTATGTGGCACCACAAAATGAGCAGAGGAGTCCACACAATGTAAACCAATAAAATGTTTAGTTATGTATGGAGACTGATGCCATAAGCATTGTGATTTGATATGTTTGCAGGTGCTGACAAATATTTAATATTTTATCTTATTATGCTGCTTAGTGGTGAATTTATCATTCCTACAGTGAATAGCCACAAATTGCAATTGCTCATTCAGTTGAGCCTACCTTGTGTTTTGGGGGTTATCTAAGAAAAATCCCAGCTTTACATGAATGCAATCATCTATCAAATAAGCAGTCCTACCTCTGTGCAAGCCATTGGAGAAATGTGGATCATGTTGATGTTAACTACCAGATCTAAGCTCTCTGTCTGGATGCCTCCCCAGTACTGATAGGGCAGAGAAGCATCCAGGTGGATGGCTGGTTTCACATTGTGCAGCTGGTAGTGAGCTCTGTACGCTTCTATACTGAGAATGGAAACAAAGGACATTATTGTTAATGCTGGCGGACTCCAACAAACCACACGTTTTTACCAACAAACAATGCTCGTGTTTTATCAGGTGTACTAAATTAATTACCGTAATACCCAAAATACATGGTCACTGCCTTTCTTAAAGTTAGCTACGCATGATTTAATCATCACCGTTAATACCCGAGCTTATAAGCCGGTCATAAGAAAACGCTACACATTACGCACAGATACCACCTACGTTTACCTGGCTAGTGACTGTCGGTCATACTCGGAGGGCTGCCAAACTGTATTCCGCAGGGCCTGAGCGAAGTGTGTGACATGCTGCCCGGTACCAGAGGAGATCTCAAGAGCCTGCAGGGGTCTCCCGGTGTTCACGCTCTCCCGGAGCACTGCCAGGATGGGCTCCTTGTTTCTCTCCGCGGCAGCGGCGCTCAGCATCGTGCCAAACCCCGGGGATAACTGTCGAGTTAGACGGTACAGTGTGCGCAGCCACTCCAGTGCTCCTGAGATACGTCAGTGCAGATTGAATAACTCAACACCACCTACGAATGTTTTGTTTTTCAGCTAAAAATGGTCCACTTCCGCATTACGTCACGTGACTGGCCTGGCCTCCAATAAGAACACTGGGTGATCAAAGGTTTTTTCTCGTGCCGAGTTATGAAAGAATGACAACGCAAATACATCTTTAACATCGAGGGTTTCTTTATTTAAGGGAAAATAGCATTCAGGTAGACTTCATATTTTACAAGATTTACAGAATGTTTCCCATTTAAACAACAATTTCTGACTGAAGTGAAAATGTAAAAGACACAGTGAACAACATATAATAAATATTATTTTTTTTGCCATGTAGGAAAACATAAATAAAAACAGCAGAAGTCAACACACGTTGTGTCACACAAACATAGGCTACCTAGCAGGATTGTCTGTGTGGTAATTCAAAGGCACACAGACATGAGTCACAACACTAATTTATTTTTTATGGGCAAAATATGTTATCTACTTAATCTATAAATCATTCAATTACTTTAAACAGAGTTTGTGCAAAAAGAAAAGCAGAATAACACAATAATACTGTACACCTTGGGATTTATTACACAGGTATAGGGCTCATAACAGCTGTTAATGGTACTAGAGAAATGGGAAATTAATTACAGGAAAGATATCTCAATAATTTGTCATTTATATTTTTCAGGTAAATGCATAACTAGGTAGTCAGTGGTATAAAATGAAAATATATGAAATCACAGGGACTTTACTGTGTTTATGTGGCAAAAAGCAGTGTTGCAGCTGCCTGCTTTTGTGGAATTATACAACATTCACTTGCCTGACAAATGCTATTAAGCAATTGTCAGCAGTTTATTCTTCTCTTCCAGCCCCACTGAGTGATCTGCGGTCTGAATCTGCACATTTTCCATGTTGAGTGTTTGTGGTGTGTCAGGAAGAGACTCCTGGCTCTCAAGAGGACAGTTTTGCACCAGAGATGGATTTAGACAGACGAAGGTCTGGTTGTTACCAAGTCCATCCAGACTGGTGGTGGTGGTGACAACAGAATCGCTAAAGATCGTGTTTGAGAATACAGAGTTAAAAGTGAATGAGGAGCCAAAAAGGGACTCCTGAACAGGGGTTTTGGGGTCTGTGGTAACCACAACTGCTGGGTCTCTGGGAGGTTTGACAGGAGGAATGGGCTCAGGCTCGCTGTTATTAGTCTCTGGTTCTGGTTGTTTGTGACTAGCTGATTTCTCTTGACTTTTAGTCTCTTCTGTAGGCTGGACAGACAGCGGGTCAGTTTTGACGATCACCCTGCAGTCGCTGTTAACACTGGAGCGTCGGGAAGACCCCTCTGCAGTGGATATCACACTACTAGCTCGGGGGAGACTTTTAGGTGACTTTAAGCCTTTCAGTCGCCCCTCTTTTCCCAGAGGAGTGGAGAAGCAGTTGAGGCAACCAGACATTGATGAAGACTTACCCTGAACATATAAAACAGTGATTGGCGAACAGACAGAGGCTCGAGTAGCTTCAACTTCGCCTGAGCTCAATTTTGGATGAATTCCATTGAGCTCTGGGTTTGTCTTGACTGTTCTCCCTGAGTCTGAGGAGCAACGTGTGACTTTTACTCTCGACCCCCTCCGGATGCTCTTTGTTCCCCTTGTGAGCCAAAAGTCCTGAGAGAGCCCAGGATCTTTCTGCTTTGGTGTTGACTGTGGATCAGACTTCTGATTGCTGGTGAATGGCATGGTAGCAGCTTTTCCCTTATATTGTTGCTGCTTCAGCGAGTGTCTGGGGGTGGAAGTATCGGTGGGTGGCTGGAAGGAGGAGGAGCGTCTAGATGGGGGCTGCTGAACGGGGCTGCTGCCATTTGACCATGGCTCATTTTCCAGACTGAGGCTGAATTCGCCGCTGCTCTCGCTTTGGGCTCGACTCTGGACACCATTTACCCCTGAACAGAGAACACAATGTTTTTAGAAAGACCTATACTACTAACAATGTTTTCTAACTCACCAACAGGGGGCAGCAGAGTCAAGTCCTTTTATAACATTTGTTTGCCTCTGTTGTCAGCACAGAGATTAATATAAAATGAGGTCATGATTGCGATTTGATGGATTTACTCTAATTCCGGTGTGGGTAATACATCTGTATGCTTGCTGAATCCTCTAAACGAGTATCCACAAGGCTTTACCATGATTTGGCACGTCGTCGTTGTCCTCAAACCCAGACGGCACAGCACTGTCATTTGAATCCTTGTCTGTGGGACAAAAAATTAGCAATGAATCAAAGGTGATAGATGATGGACACTTTAAACACTTCCAATTGAAAAGCCTACGAGAGGGCTGTCTGCTCTAATTAATTCCAGAGTCTAACTACTGAAGATGACATCACACAAAACAGTGACGGGCGAATGCTTCTACCTGTCACCCAAAGCTCAGAAACGTCTACAGCAGTGTCAGCTGAGTCAGAAGTTGTGGCAGTGACGGGGCCAGATGGTAGAGTGGTGGGATGATTAAGGTGATGGATGGACAAGATGGATGTGGTAAGGGATGAGGTCAATGCCGTCTTCCTGTCCTCCTCAGAGAATTCCAGTGTCTCTGAACTCTTTGCCCACCGCTCCTCCTCAGATGGTGCCGAGGGGAACACCAAGCTGCTCAGGGCTGCAGTGTTTTACCAAGGAGTGGAAGAAGTGGGAAGTGGGTGAGGGCGGGGGGACAAGACAGGTGAAGTGGTCATGGAGATTATGAGATATATTTGTTCTATGGTATGGAAAACATGGACACGAGGAGGGTTTGAACACTATAGTATCAGATAGTGGTTGTATACAGTTTGTTCCCCTAATGCACAGCTAGCTCCTTATAGGACAGAGCTCATGCACCACTACTGTCCTCCTGCAATGCAGCATTTCTTTGACCTCAACGGTTCTACAAAATACCCCAGAATGACTTATTTCATAGGCAA